GGGCGCTACCAACTGCGCTACTCCACCACGGCCTGTGGAGGGGTTACGCTCTTGGCTCTTACACTCTGACGTTCAGCCAAAGCCATGAATGCCTTCTATTTGAATATATGTAAAATAATATTTTTTTGCCTAAAAAGTGTAAAATTTTGGGAATTTTTTTTCACGAACAATAATTGTCTGGCACAACGAGTCTGTGTGGAAAATGTCAGCTCGATTGGATCACGGGAAGTTGGTTAAAAAACGACCGAAAGATTTGCACGGTCCGAAGCAAGCAAGCAAGCACGCAAGCAAGCAAGCAAGCGAACTTAATATAAAGGATTTAATAACCAAAATCGCGGACGCTACGGTCGCGCGCGCTCCCTTTGAATTCGCTCCAGTCCATCTCGTCAGATCTTGGAAGCAACGCAGGGTTGGAGTCTGGTTTAGACTCTTAGTTTTTTCGGTAAAGTCACGTAGGTAAAAAATGAAATTAAAATTAATAAAAATAAAATAATAATACGATTAATAAAAAATTTAAATAATAAAAATCTGGTTTAGTTCTTGGATGGATATCCACCACCACCGGACAAAGATCGCCCCCGTGTAGCCTTAACAGACTGTAGGGACAAGTGCTGTTAGCGAGCAGCACCTATGAAGGCCGGAACGGCGCACGAGGGGGTGGGTGGCCAGCAACCATGCCCGACCGCCTTTGTCTCCCCAGTGGCGATGTTTACACACCGCACCAGGCACTCGTTTAAGGCTGAGTCGACCTAGAGGAAGCCCGGAACCGGTTCCGATTATCGTCACCGGTGTTGGCCGCTAGCGGGATACGAACTCGGGTGGCCGGGTTCGTAGCGCAGCGTTGCACTAACCGCTACCGCCACCACCGCCACCACCGCCACCACCGCCACCACCGCCACCACCGCCACCACCGCCACCACCGCCACCACCGCCACCACCACTGGGGCTTGCCAGATGTTGTAACCGTGGGGGTTGCACAGAGGGCAGGAGAGGGCCCTGTTCTCGGGGTCACCACCCTCGTTTGGAATTTCTCCAAATTCTCCGGCTTACCAAAACTGAGCGAGGTGTTCTCTCCCTCGCCTGCTATGTTCACGTGACAAACTCTTGCTATTCGGCTGTGTCGGGTGGTGGCGGGGTTAACGACACATTGATAGATTTACACGATCTAATCCCAAAATAAGTATAACCCGTAAAAACAAAGCTTTTCACTCTGGCGGCTCGAGTCCTCTCGTCCTCTGGCTTGAGATGGCTGCCACTTATGGGTCAGATGATTGTCTGCCAGTATTAAACAATTGGTAATTAAATATTTCATTTGTTTTCCCTAAACAGTGTAAAATTTTGGGAAAAAATTTTCACGAACATTAATTGTCTCGCACGACGAGTCTGTGTGCAAAATGTCAGCTCGATTGGATCACGGGAAGTGGGTTAAAAAACGACCGAAAGGTTTGCACGGTCGTAAGCAAGCAAGCAAGCGAACTTAATATAAAGGATTTAAAAAAAACTCTACTATGGATGATATTGGTAGCTCAAGTCTACTACTACTTCTACTACTACTGCTGCGTATTAAACTACCAAAGGTTCAGTATCCCCACAACTCGCCTCGTGTGGAGCCACTCGGCTCCTCCAGATCGACCGCTTTGTCTCATGCCCACCTTGGTGTGCGTTGCGGTACATTTTAAAACTTCTTTCGAAATATTTTTTTTGCGTTATCTTCTTTTAATTATTATTTGATTTGGAGCTTTCGTGACTGCAGGAATTACTTTTTTGTTCATTTGGTAGAAAGAAATTAAATTAAATAATGTTTAAATAATAATTATAATATTATAGAAAAAAATCACATTTTATTTATTTTCTTTCTACGTGACTTTACCGATAGAACAAAAAACTAATTATTATTATTTTGATTGACGAGTCCCTCCTGGGTCGACTTTGGATATGCTGAATCCGACCGATTTCACACGTCCGGCGCGACTGCACACGAACAAGGAAGCGACCGCGGCCAAATACGGCGGTCGAAAACACGTTATGTGCAACACGAAGAAGTACTGCATAGACATCACGAGCAGCACATGCCAATAAACAAAAGCGAAAAGCAAAAGGACAATTTTGTTGTGTCAACTGCATTTGGGGGTTGTTCACACGCTAACCGAGTATAACACCCCTTTACTTTCGACTCAGATTGATGAACTCTCAATTTTCGTCCGCCGCTCTTGTAAGAAAACGTGCGGAAGAAAACACGATATCTCCATCCCTGTAAGAACTTTGTTTAACACCCGCCCCCCCACCCACCTGCCCCCCCCTTTTTTAAAAGGAGTTTGTTGTTCTAATCCTGCTAATTTGTTTTACATATCTGCCCTCCGAGGCCTGCGCGCAACCATCTCCACAAACCGCCGCGAAAAAGCATCGATTAATGAATGCATTGTGGGCGCATTCACGATATTTCTGTGGGGGGTTGGGGTGGGCACGGTGCCAAATGCCCCCGTCTCCCCCCCCCCCACCACCCCCCCAACAATCGTAAATTCGCGTCGTTACATAATATTCCCATCTGTACAGAAGTTGCCGAGTCTGCACATTTCGCGCGGATCACAAAGCCCGCACTCGCGCTCGGTCCCATGCAAGAGTCACATGAGAGAGATTAGCAGTGGGGGGTGGGGGGGGTGGAGGGGTTGAGAGAAGAGGCACGAGGAGGATGTTGAAGAGGTGGGGGTGCTGGGAGGTTGCGGGGAGGTTGCGGGGAGGTTGCGGGGAGGTTGCGGGGAGGTTGCGGGGAGGTTGCTGGGAGGTTGCGGGGAGGTTGCTGGGAGGTTGCGGGGAGGTTGCGGGGAGGTTGCGGGGAGGTTGCGGGGAGGGTGCTGGGAGGGTGTGTAACGAATGTGTCCTCTTTTTTTGGAGCCGCTCACATGATCGAGAGGCGAACGCGCGCGCGCTGTCAATAGCCCTTGGCGAATCGCGTTGTCTCTGCCGTGTACAGAGTGGTAGGAGTGGCTGCTGTTGCTGCTGCTGCTACGACTAGAAGATTCCCTCGTTATTCGCGAAGAGGGATGCGTTCCCGAGATGTTCGTGAATGGCACATTTTGCGGGAGTGATATTGGCCGAGAGAAAAAAAAACGTGTACTGTACATATATATATACTTGTTATGAATTGCCTTAATTAAATACGGAAAGAGGCTGTTACATATGTGACTATTATAATAACACGTCACTTTATCTCTCATCACTTTATCTCTCATCACTTTATCTCTCATCACTTTATCTCTCATCACTTCATCTCATAGTTTTATGTCATCATTTTCTCGCTCATTACTTTTATCTCATCACTTTATCTCATCACCTTATCTCATCACTTTATTTTTCTCTCTCTCTCTCTCGATTCAGCAGCAGTGTAGAGCTCCAGTTGCGATTCGCAGATAGCCAAAATCGCAGCTAGCAAGATTCGTGAATAGCGAGCGTTCATGGCAATCTACGGAGTTGGTAAAACAGCTCAATCAATGTAGGCCCACAGAGCTTGGGCATTCGTTGGCGTCATTTGTCTGTGCCCCCCCCCCCCCCCCACGTGTCTGAGTCTCATCGGAAGAAAAATAAAACTGTGGGCTTAAAAAAAAAGTAACCGTAACTTTTAATTTCAAGTAGTAGGTTTTTTCCCTTTCAACTGGTACAAAAACTGACACCTTTATATAAGGCATCATGTTTGCATAAAAGCCAAATACTTCTAAATATATTTCATTGAGAGCCATATAGTATTTTTAACGTATAATAAATTAAATATGTCTTACTTTTAATGCGAATTCTGGTGCTGCATGGTTTTTGCTGATGGCCTTGTAGTCTGGTTCATACGTGGTGAGGTTGAGCTTCATGCAGGCGTGACCCGTGAAATTTATTTAAGTATTTTTAAATCGGTTCCAAACTGATTTTTTTTTAACTCAAAATTGTCTGGGAGCCATATGCCGTCACTGGAAGAGCCAGATATGGCTCGCGAGCCATAGGTTCCCGACCGCTGTCCTAGTCTATTTTGCCGTTCCGAAACACCTGCCAAGTGGCGGGGTTTGGGTGTCTCGTTCACCGCCGAGTCTCGGAACGCGCGAGCGTGTTCAGCGTTCATTTTGCCAAGAGAGGCGCAGCAGCGCCGTTGTTGCTCACCGCGGAAAACTGTAGCGACACGACCGCAGCCACTCTACGATAGCCGGCGCAAAATCTGTACCACACGGCCCTCCCTTCCGCGTGGCCTTGTGGGAAGCCTCTGTGCCGATGAAGTTACATCATGTTCGTTTATCTTCCCGGTCTCTGTTTGATGACGTACGTACACGTGCAACGGGATTGTGAAAAAAACGATGACGTGTACACGTACGTTATCAGAACGTACGTGTGTATGTCAGCAGAACGGGATCGGAATAACAACCGATGATGTGCACACGTACGTCATCGGAATATACCTGTGTACGTCATTGGAATGGGATTGGAAGAACAAACTATGATGTGCACACGTACGTCATCGGAATGTACGTGTGTACGTCATCGGAACGGGATCGGAATAACAACCGATGATGTGCACACGTACGTCATCGGAATATACCTGTGTACGTCATTGGAATGGGATTGGAAGAACAAACTATGATGTGCACACGTACGTCATCGGAATGTACGTGTGTACGTCATCGGAACGGGATCGGAATAACAACCGATGATGTGCACACGTACGTCATCGGAATATACCTGTGTACGTCATTGGAATGGGATTGGAAGAACAAACTATGATGTGCACACGTACGTCATCGGAATGTACGTGTGTACGTCATTGGAACGGGATTGGAAGAACAAACGATGACGTGTACACGTACGTCATCGGAATATACCTGTGTACGTCATTGGAACGGGATCGGAAGAACAAACAATGATGTGCACACGTACGTCATCGGGAACGGGAAAACGTTTAAACAAAACAAAAAATAACACGGCGTCCCCACCTCCTGCTCCCTCCCCTCCCCCGGTGCCGTTTTCCACAGGATTCGAGGACGTCTTGGCGGCTGGGAAAGATGATCTCTCAGGGGCGGCAGGCTCGGCCCCCCACGGCTGGCAGCAGGCCTCCTCCGCCGCTTGGAACGACACAGCGTACCCCGTGTGGCCCCCCAACGACACGCGCTGGGAGAGCAACTGGCAAGGTGCTCACGCGGGCTTCACACGCGCTCACACACGGCCCTCGGCGAGGTGGTAAACATCTCACGGTGGCGAGGAGATGGTAACTAGCTCGCCTGGTGTGCAGGAGGTCGTGGGTTCGATCCCGACCCTGGCACCTGCTGTATATTTGAAGCTTGCTATCATTTGTGATTGCAAGGTCACTTCTGAAAAAAGAGCTACGGCTCAGTGGACCTTACCTGGTGAATTAGAAACAGTTTAGTATTAAAGGCAAAGGTCCCCCGCATAGCCTTTAACGGGCTGCTAGGGCAAGTGCTGTTAGCGAGCCCCCTATTCAAGGCCGACACGGTACATGAGGGGGTGGGTGGCCAGCACCACGCCCGGCTGCCTCCGCTTCTCCAGTGCTGACGTTTTAGACACTCACCCCAGGTGTGAATGTAAGACCGAGGCAGCAGCTGCCATTCGCTGTCCCCATCCAATAATTGTCCCGATCCCATCGAGATTCCGATCCCATTACTGTCCTGATCCCATCGCTATCCAGATCACATTATTGTCCTGATCCCATCCACCGTCCCAAACCCATCACCATCCCGATCTCACCACCATCCCAATCCCACCACCATCCCGATCCCATCCACCGTCCCAATCCCATCCACCATCCCAATCCCATCCACCATCCCGATCCCACCACCATCCCGATCCCATCCACCATCCCAATCCCACCACCATCCCAATCCCATCCACCATCCCAATCCCACCACCATCCCAATCCCATCCACCATCCCGATCCCATCCACCATCCCAATCCCACCACCATCCCAATCCCATCCACCATCCCAATCCCACCACCATCCCAATCCCATCCACCATCCCGATCCCATCCACCATCCCAATCCCACCACCATCCCAATCCCATCCACCATCCCAATCCCACCACCATCCCAATCCCACCACCATCCCAATCCCACCACCATCCCAATCCCATCCACCATCCCAATCCCATCCACCATCCCGATCCCACCACCATCCCGATCCCATCCACCATCCCAATCCCACCACCATCCCAATCCCATCCACCATCCCAATCCCACCACCATCCCAATCCCATCCACCATCCCAATCCCATCCACCATCCCAATCCCATCCACCATCCCGATCCCACCACCATCCCGATCCCATCCACCATCCCAATCCCACCACCATCCCAATCCCATCCACCATCCCAATCCCACCACCATCCCAATCCCACCACCATCCCAATCCCATCCACCATCCCAATCCCACCACCATCCCAATCCCATCCACCATCCCGATCCCACCACCATCCCGATCCCATCCACCATCCCAATCCCACCACCATCCCAATCCCATCCACCATCCCGGTCCCACCACCATCCCGATCCCATCCACCATCCCAATCCCATCCACCATCCCGATCCCACCACCATCCCAATCCCACCACCATCCCAATCCCATCCACCATCCTGATCCCACCACCATCCCGATCCCATCCACCATCCCGATCCCATCCACCATCCCAATCCCACCACCATCCCAATCCCATCCACCATCCCGATCCCACCACCATCCCGATCCCACCACCATCCCGATCCCACCACCATCCCAATCCCATCCACCATCCCGATCCCACCACCATCCCAATCCCATCCACCATCCCGATCCCACCACCATCCCGATCCCACCACCATCCCGATCCCATCCACCATCCCGATCCCACCACCATCCCGATCCCACCACCATCCCAATCCCATCCACCATCCCAATCCCACCACCATCCCAATCCCATCCACCATCCCAATCCCATCCACCATCCCGATCCCATCCACCATCCCAATCCCATCACTGTCCCGATCCCACCCACCATCCCAATCCCACCACCATCCCAATCCCACCCACCGTCCCAATCCCATCACTGTCCCGATCCCACCCACCATCCCAAACCCATCCACCATCCCAATCCCATCCACCCAATCCTATCTACCATCCCAATCCCACCACCATCCCAAACCCATCCACCATCCCAAACCCATCCACCATCCCAATCCCATCCACCATCCCAATCCCATCCACCCAATCCTATCCACCATCCCAATCCCACCACCATCCCAATCCCACCACCATCCCAATCCCATCCACCCAATCCCATTCACCATCCCAATCCCACCACCCAATCCCATTCACCATCCCAATCCCATCCACCCAATCCCACCACCATCCCAATCCCATCCACCCAATCCCATTCACCATCCCAATCCCACCACCATCCCAATCCCATCCACCCAATCCCACCACCATCCCAATCCCACCACCATCCCAATCCCACCACCATCCCAATCCCATCCACACAATCCCATCCACCCAATCCCACCACCATCCCAATCCCACCACCATCCCAATCCCATCCACCCAATCCCACCACCATCCCAATCCCACCACCATCCCAATCCCACCACCATCCCAATCCCATCCACCCAATCCCACCACCATCCCAATCCCACCACCATCCCAATCCCACCACCATCCCAATCCCATCCACCCAATCCCACCACCATCCCAATCCCACCACCATCCCAATCCCATCCACCCAATCCCATTCAACATCCCAATCCCACCACCATCCCAATCCCATCCACACAATCCCACCCACCGTCCCAATCCCATCACTGTCCCGATCCCACCCACCATCCCAAACCCATCCACCATCCCAATCCCATCCACCCAATCCTATACACCATCCCAATCCCACCACCATCCCAAACCCATCCACCATCCCAAACCCATCCACCATCCCAATCCCATCCACCCAATCCTATCCACCATCCCGATCTCACCACCATCCCGATCTCACCACCGTCCCGATCCCACCCACCGTCCCCATCCCATCCACCGTCCCAAATCCCATCGACTGACTCCGGTCCGCATGGCCGCTGTGCAGGCGGCCGCATGAAGGTGATGCTGACCAGCGACGGGCCGGCCCTGGTGGGCTCTCGTATCACCTTCTACTCGCAGCTCCACTTCCCCCGCGGGCAGCTGCCACAGGCCAACGGACGCGCCGCCTGGGCCCAGAACGGCACCGTCGACGGTACCAGCGGCGGTCAGCTCGCCTCGTCATTTCGTGTGCCATACCGACTCCTCGCCTGTTGTTGTTGTCTTGGGGTGGTTTGTTGTTGTTTTGGTGTGGTCTGGGACTGTTGTTGTTGTGTTGGTGTGGTCTGGGACTGTTGTTGTTGTTGTGTTGGTGTAGTCTGGGACTGTTGTTGTTGTTGTCTTGGTGTGGTCTGGGACTGTTGTTGTTGTTGTCTTGGTGTGGTCTGGGACTGTTGTTGTTTTTGTCTTGGTGTGGCCTGGGACTGTTGTTGTTGTGTTGGTGTGGTCTGGGACTGTTGTTGTTTTTGTCTTGGTGTGGTCTGGGACTGTTGTTGTTGTTGTCTTGGTGTGGTCTGGGACTGTTGTTGTTGTGTTGGTGTGGTCTGGGACTGTTGTTGTTGTTGTTGTTGTGTTGGTGTGGTCTGGGACTGTTGTTGTTGTTGTCTTGGTGTGGTCTGGGATTGTTGTTGTTGTTTTGGTGTGGTCTGGGAGTGTTGTTGTTGTTGTCTTTGGTGTGGTCTGGGACTGTTGTTGTTGTTGTTGTCTTGGTGTGGTCTGGGATTGTTGTTGTTGTTTTGGTGTGGTCTGGGACTGTTGTTGTTGTCTTGGTGTGGTCTGGGAGTGTTGTTGTTGTTGTTGTCTTGGTGTGGTCTGGGACTGTTGTTGTTGTTGTCTTGGTGTGGTCTGGGACTGTTGTTGTTGTTGTTGTCTTGGTGTGGTCTGGGACTGTTGTTGTTGTCTTGGTGTGGTCTGGGACTGTTGTTGTTGTTGTCTTGGTGTGGTCTGGGACTGTTGTTGTTGTTTTGGTGTGGTATGGGAGTGTTGTTGTTGTTGTTGTCTTGGTGTGGTCTGGGACTGTTGTTGTTGTTTTGGTGTGGTATGGGACTGTTGTTGTTGTTTTGTTGTTGTTGTCTTGGTGTGGTCTGGGAGTGTTGTTGTTGTTGTCTTGGTGTGGTCTGGGACTGTTGTTGTTGTTGTCTTGGTGTGGTCTGGGAGTGTTGTTGTTGTTGTCTTGGTGTGGTCTGGGAGTGTTGTTGTTGTTGTCTTGGTGTGGTCTGGGACTGTTGTTGTTGTTGTCTTGGTGTGGTCTGGGACTGTTGTTGTTGTTGTTGTTGTCTTGGTGTGGTCTGGGACTGTTGTTGTTGTCTTGGTGTGGTCTGGGACTGTTGTTGTTGTCTTGGTGTGGTCTGGGACTGTTGTTGTTGTTGTTGTCTTGGTGTGGTCTGGGACTGTTGTTGTTGTTGTCTTGGTGTGGTCTGGGAGTGTTGTTGTTGTTGTTGTCTTGGTGTGGTCTGGGACTGTTGTTGTTGTTTTTGTTGTTGTTGTGTTTGGGTGGTCTGGGACTGTTGTTGTTGTTGTCTTGGTGTGGTCTGGGAGTGTTGTTGTTGTTGTTGTTTTGGTGTGGTATGGGACTGTTGTTGTTGTTTTTGTTGTTGTTGTGTTGGGGTGGTCTGGGACTGTTGTTGTTGTTGTCTTGGTGTGGTCTGGGACTGTTGTTGTTGTTGTTGTCTTGGTGTGGTCTGGGACTGTTGTTGTTGTTGTTGTTGTCTCACACCTCCCCCTCCACCCTCCTCCTCACCCTCCACCCTCCTCCCCTCCCCCCCCAGTCTAAACAAAGATCCTGACCCTGACGTCCCCGCGTGTTCCAGGGAGGCCCGTGAGTGCTGGTCACGAGGTGTACCCGGAGCTGAGCGAGAAGGGCGCAGGAGGCCGCCGCTCATTCCCCGACGGGCGCCCCATGAAGAGGGGCAGGCGGGACGAGGACTACGTCTACGTGTTCTACACCAGGGGTGGGGGCACCCCCATCCCGCTCCCCTAGCCCCCCTCAACCCCCGCCCCCTCTAGCCCCCCTCAACCCCCACCCCACGCACCCCTCACCCCCCACTCTGCTCCTCTTACTCTCCTCACCCCCCACGCCTCCCTCCCTCACCGCCCACCCCGCCCCCCTCGCCTCCCTCCACCCCGCCCCCCTCTAGCCCCCCTCAACCCCCACCCCACGCCTCCCTCACCCCCCCACCCCGCCCCCTCGCCCTTCCCCCCCCACCCCGCCCCCCTCGCCCCCCTCCACCCCGCCCCTCTAGCCCCCCTCCACCCCGCCCCTCTAGCCCCCCTCAACCCCCACCCCACGCCTCCCTCACCCCCCCACCCCGCCCCCTCGCCCTTCCCCCCCCACCCCGCCCCCCCTCGCCCCCCTCCACCCCGCCCCTCTAGCCCCCCTCAACCCCCACCCCACGCCTCCCTCACCCCCACCCTGCCCCTACTACACATGTAGTAGCTACTACTATGACATATGTAGTAATTTTTTGCCACTACAACACCCCCCCCCCCTCTCCCACTTGCCCCGATGCTTGCAGGTCGATTCTGGGAGATCGGATCTCAGGTGACTGCGACCGTGACCATCGACACGACGGACATCCCCCTGGGCGTCCACGTGGTGCAGCTGCTTGTCTACCAGGAGCGCCACAACAACCAGTTCATCCCTCTGGGCAACGCCACCGCTGAGTACACCGTCACCGGTACGCGGGGTGACACCGTCACCGCTACGCGGGGTGACGCTAGCAGACCTCGACAATGCCATTTAGCTCCAGAACATATTGCCGTAGAGTCACGTAGAAGGACTTTACCGAAAGAACCAAGAAGATGAATCCCTGCAGTCACGAAAGCTTTAAATCGAAATATTGCCGTAGATTACGAATTTAACCCGAACGTTTATGATTGACACGTAGGCTTTCAGAATCAGAATCAGAAAGGGTTTTATTGGCCATGAAATTTTGCACAAACAAGGAATTTACTATGGCAGGAAGGTGCATACATTCAACATGTAGGAATCTTAAAACTTAAATAAGTGGTATACAGTCTAACTATACTAAAGTTACAAAGTCTAACTAATACTCAGGGGCTAAGGTATGTAAAATTTTGAATAAGTATACAATATAAAATGTGAACTAGCCGTAATATACAATCCTAAAATACAAAAATACAAATAGGGTAACATGTTGTAAATATGGCAAGGTGTAATTTTGTAGATAAAATGTTAAAGTAAGTGTAAAAGTCATTGTAAGCCCTTGGCCTTGCTGAGGAGGTCCACAGCGGATGGGAAAGCAAATATTATAATCAACGTTTTTAACAACTGCCTGATTACTAATCTAGTATATAATTACAATAACCCCTCCACCTCCGCCTCAAATCGTTGCACCTGATGAGTTGATTAGTTAATGATGACGTCACCCTGCTGCTGCTGCTCTATATAAGCAGCAGGGTGACGTCATCATTAATTAATGATGACGTCACCCTGCTGCTGCTGCTCTATATAAGCAGCAGGGTGACGTCATCATTAATTAATGATGACGTCACCCTGCTGCTGCTGCTCTATATAAGCAGCAGGGTGACGTCATCATTAATTAATGATGACGTCACCCTGCTGCTGCTGCTCCATATAAGAACGGGAGACAGAGCAGAGCCTCACCATTCTGGTGAATTGCCCGATGATGCTGGATGCAATTACCAGCGAAACGTCGTACTACTCAAAACATTGTAAATGTTGTGGTTTCACGCTTCAACACACCGGTGGGCTAAAGCAGTGAACTATTTGTCTTTGTCAAAGTGACACTTTTTTACTGATTGGCCGTGTCGGGTGGTGGAGGGTTACGACACATTTATAAATAACGCGATCTAAACCCAAAAACGTTGATTATGAATTAACGTTTCGATTTAAAGCTTTCGTAACTGCAGGGATTCATCTTCTTGGTTCTTTCGGTAAAGTCACGTAGAAGGGAAGTAATAAAATAATAAAAATAAAACATAATAAAATAAAATTATGTTTTATTTTTATTATTTCATTACTTCCCTTCTACGTGACTTTACCGAAAGAACCAAGAAAATGAATTTACGATTGACAAAAATTCCCCCAAACCCCCCCCCCCCACTCGTCCCTCCCCACCTACCCCCCTCCACCGCCCAGACCAAGTCCCGTTCAGCGTGGAGATCAGCCAGCTCAACGACCAGAACTACCTGGACAACCGTTTCGTCGAGAACCGCGACGTCATCTTCACGGCCCGGGTGAACGACCCGAGCGGGTACCTGCGTGACAGCGTCGCGGAGCTCACCTACACGTGGAACTTTGGCGACGAGAGCGGTTCACTCATCACGCAGATGCCCACGTGCCGTCACGCGTACGCCGCCGCGGGCAACTACCGCCCGCAGCTGGTACTGCGCGCGATCATCCCAACCAAGTGCGGCACCCTCAATGCCACCGTCATTCCCGACGAGACCACGCGCACCATCACCACGACCACAACCACCACCACCGCCGCCACCACCACCACCGCCGCCACCACGACGACCACCACCGCCACGACCACCACCGTCGCCGTCACCACCGCCGCGGCCACAACCACCGCTGCCGCCACCCCGTCCGCTCCTGGTGGACCCACCACTCCAGCTGCTGCTTCCACCAAAGGTAAGGATCGATGCGTGGGGGGGTGGGGGGGGAATAGTCGACCATTGGTCAGGGAAGGGGTTCACAGCCGTCCTGGGTTCACAACGAAGATTGGCCCTCTAGGGCTGGCCACATCGTAGGCCAAAGGACGTAATCCGTCTGATTCCGGATTCTGGCATCGCTGGAACGCGGTGCGATGGCGATGGTATCGAATTGAGACGATGAAACTACTTTTATTTGAGCAGGTGAGCCCCACTGAGCTATGTCACTCTATTTTGAGAAGGGGACTGGCTGTGACAGATGATAGCGCAACGAAGTGGCTCATCATCACGTGGACATGTAGAGCAGACAAATAATCTAAACGCGTGTTTATAAATGTGGAGGGACAAACTGGAGGACCCGGAGGGAAATCCATGCGACCACGATGAGAGAGAGACACGCAAACTCCAAATACACAGCAGGCGTCAGGGTCAGGATCGAACCCACGACCTCCTGTAGACCAGGCGAGGTAGTTAACATCTTTGTGTGTGTCTCTCTCTCTCTCTACCCGTGGTGGCCGCGTGGATTTTTCGCTCGATATCTCTGACCCCCCCCCCCCGTGTCCCTCTCCCTCCGCACCCCCCCACCCAATTTCCCTGGCAGTGCCAGCCACGCCAAACCCGGCCGCCTTGCTGATGCTGACCGCGGCGTCTCAGCTGCCCGCTGAACCCGACGGCCAGACGACATCACCGCCGCCATCGACGGCGGGCACCATTAGGTGAGGTCAAACGACGTGAGAACGAGGGCGGGGGAGGGGGGGGGCACAGAGGGCCCCTCCCCGAGAGAGGGGTGTGGTGGAAATTCCACATTCCGAACAAGGAGAGAGGACATGCTCCGGTGGGCAAGTCGCAGTTTGACGCCGTCGAAGTTAAAGGGAAGGCGGGAGGCGGGAGGTCGCTTGAACAAGTGGGAAGAGGTGTTTTAACCTTTGTGGTGATTAAACACCCAATAGAAACATTTTGCGAGGAATCAAGTTACTGCATTAAGCACACACGGTGCTTAATGCAGTAAAGTCACATAGGGGGGGGGGGGGGTGAGAAATGCGACGTCACATCAAAATATAGGCAACACGTTCTATAGTTTAAAGCGATTTGAAGCATGTTTTATTTTGGGGGGGGGGGCAGAGCTTTGTGACGTCATATTTGAGGGGGGGGGTCTGACTTTTTGTGACGCCGTGTGACGATGTGGGGGGGGGGGGGGGGGGTCAAAAATCGTCCAAAATCGCGTGACGTCATTTATGGACGGCCCCATTACCCTTTTCTGGCAATGAAACAGTAGGGCGTTAAGATGTCCAAACGCCACGCAAACAGCAGACGCAGCGAACGAACCCGAGACCTGCCCCCCCCCTCCCCGCTGTCCCCTCTGCCTTCACAGCCAAGAGGAGGAGGAGGCGGTGGTGGTGGTCACTATCTCAGCCTCGGAGCCGACGGTGGATGACAGCAGCAGCAGCAGTAGCAGCAGCGTCGTCCCCGCAGCCACCGTCATCGATGAGGCCGACGTGGCCACGGCGTCGTCTGCGTCGTCTGCGTCATCTTCGGCGTCTCCCAGCGAGGCGGCGCTGCGTCTCGTCAAGCGGCAGGCGGTCGCGTGGAAGCCACCTCACTGCCAAGTTCACCGCTACGGCAGCTTCAGCACGCGAATCACCGTCGTCCGTGCGTGTGCCGCTCTCATCGCCGCGGTCACACGGCAGCCCTCGCGCTCGGCTCGTTCGCTCGCTCGCTCGCTCGTGCGCCGGTCGTGGTTCGAGTTTAACGAGGAACGCTACGATAGCCTCGCTCTCTCGCTCTCCCTCGTAAGACAATTGGGAAGTACGCGTGGTTCGAGTTTAACGAGGAACACCACGATGACCTCGCTCTCTTGCTCTCGTAAGACAATTGGGAAGTATGCCGGGTACGGGTAGCCGGGTATCGGGTAGGGTACGGGTATCGGGTACCCGATTGCAACCTCTGAGCCAGAGCCCGTGTCTTCAACTGAGACAAATCACGGCGGCTAAGTTGACGCTGCCCTGTGTCTACCCCCCCACCCTCTCCCCTACCCCCCACATCTCCCCCCCAAGCTGAGATCCAGAGTGTCAAGGTGGTAGCGTTGACTAGCGCCCAAGCTGGCGGGAGCACCGTACCGGGACTCGTCAACTTCATGGTCACCTGCGAGGGCAGGTGAGCGATCTAAGGGGCCGTCCTAAATGACGTCATGCACCTGGGGGGGGGGGGTGGGGGCTCAGACATTTGTGACGATGTGTGACGAAGGGCGGTGTTTGAGAAATGTGACGTCACATCAAAATGCGCAACTTTAAATAAATATAGACAACACGGTCTACTTAATTAAATAGACTTTTTAATAATTTTTTCTCCTACAACATCAGAGTGCAGCGCCACATTGAATACGCACTACAATGACAATAGTTTAAAGCGATTTGAAGCATGTTTTATTTTCTAAATGGAAATATGGTTTGGGGGGGTGGGGGGCAGAGCTTTGTGACGTCATATTTGAGGGGGGGGGTCTGACTTTTTGTGACGCCGTGTGACGATGAGGGGGGGGGGGGTCAAAAATCGTCCAAAATCGCGTGACGTCATTTATGGACGGCCCCTAACGCTGCGTTCAACACACGCACATCATCGTTGTCGCAGTATCACACGTGAAATCACATCACTTTATTTTTATTTAATTTTTGTGATTTTATTTCGTTGTTTTCATTTTTTTACTATTTTTTCACCTACGTGACTTTGCCGAAAAACCAAAGAGTATGTCACGTCATCTTCTTGGTTCTTTCGGTCAAGTCACGTAGAAGGGAAGTAATAAAATAATAAAAAATAAAACATAATAAAATACAATTCTCACGACGTTTCGGCCACAACGCAAGCAGCCGTCCTCAGGTGAAGAACAGGTCTGTCGGAAAGACAACGTCTGAATGAACACCACCAAGCTTGGCAGCGTATATTTAAGCTGCTGGGTTAGGGGAGGAAGGGCGCCTTGACAAAGGAATTTGCATGTCAACAGAGGAATTTAGCATATTTATGGGAAATGCAGATATGGGATTAGTCACGACTTGTGGAATGCGTAGGAGGTGGGGGGGGGTCTCAAAGTGGGTGGCCAGCACCACGCCCGGCCGCCTTTGTCTCCCCCAGTGGCGATGTTTTTTCACACCGCGCCAGCTACTCATTTGAGGCTGAGTCGACCTAGGGAAGGCCCTAATCCTCACCCTAAGGAATCTATCCCCCCAGGGAAGCCTTCAAGTTCGTCGTTGCGTGCGCATCAAACCTCCTCCTCTAATTCTAGATTTGAAGCTTTCGTGACTGCAAGGATTCATATTCTTAGGTTTTTTCGGTAAAGTCACGTAGGTAAAAAATTTAATTAATAAAAATAAAAGTAAAATTAAAAATTAAAAAAAAAATCACGACGTTTCGGAGGCAACACAAGCTTCCGTCTTCAGGTGGAACCGTCACAGCCACGACAGCTGTATCAAGTAAATGAGAGATTCCAAGAGCTACCACCCCGTATATATACTGAGTTCACTCCCGAACTCATCCTTAAATAATTATTCATGCGGAGCCACCGTTAGTGGACATGCACGCTCCACACATGTGTTTCTAGCCAACGACAACCTTTTTGGCGGCGTTTCATCGGAACCCTGTTAGCCTGTAGGATTTCGTGGCAGTTTGCTGCATCTCTTCGGGGCCGTCCATAAATGACGTCACGCAATTTTGCACGATTTTTCACCCCCCCCCCCCCACTCGTCACGTGGCGTCACAAAAAGTCAGACCCCCTCCCCCTCAAATATGACGTCACAAAGCTCTGCCCCCCCCCCCCCATAAAAAAAACATATTTCCATTTTGAAAATAAAACATGCTTCAAATCGCTATTGTAGTGCGCATTTAATGTGGCGCTGCACTCTGATGTTGCAGGAGAAAACATTTATTAAAACAGTCTATTTAATTAAGTAGAACCTGTTGCTTACATTCATCTAAAGTTGCGCATTTTGATGTATCGTCACATTTCCCAAATACCCCCTCCTCTCGTCACACATCGTCACAAATATCTGACCCCACCCCCCCTAGGTGCGTGACGCAATTTATGAACGACGCACCAACTAAAATATTCCGACTTTCCCCATGCCCTCACCTCCCCCCACCCCCCCACACAGCCTGCCCACGCAGGTGTGCACGGTGGTGTCCGACGCTTCGTGCGTCACCGCGCAGAGCTCCGCTTGCCGCAACGTGAGTGGCGCCGGCGGCGGCTGCGAGATTGCCGTGCAGGAGAGCTTCAACGCGAGCGGCACCTACTGCCTCAACGTGACCCTCTCGGACGACGTGAGCCTCGCGGTGTCCAGCACGCAGGTCACCGTCGGACCAGGTGCGTGCGCACGGTGACCCCACCCCTCAATGCTCGTCCCATCTCGCGTAGGGATTTTTTTTATTTTTTTATTTTTTTTCCACTGCCACAACCGAGCCGTGCCAGGGCCGTGCCGTGCTGTGCCGTGCCGCCGACGCGTCGCGCGCGGTGAACGTGACGGAAATAGCCAGGCCCCGGTGTCTATCCTGCAACGGATCACACACAGTACACACACAGTACACACACACAGTACACACACAGTACACACACTGAACACACAACACACAGAACACACACAGAACACACACAGTACACACACAGTACACACACAACACAAACAGTACACACACACACAGTACACACACTGAACACACACACAACACAAACAGTACACACACAGTACACACAACACACAGTACACACACAGTACATACACAGAACACACAGAACACACACAGAACACAACACACACACAACACACAGTACACACACTGAACACACACACAACACAAACAGTACACACACAGAACACACACACAACACACACACAACACAAACAGTACAGACACAGAACACACACAGAACACTCACACAACACAAACAGTACACATGCAGTACACACACTGAACACACACTGAACACACACAGTAGACACACTGAACACACACACAACACAAACAGTACACACATAACACAGAGTACACACACGGAACACACACAGTACACACACAGAACACACACAGAACACACAGGACATACACAATACACACAGAACACACAGCACACACACAGAACACACAGGACAAACACAGTACATCCACAGTACACACACAGAACACACACTACTACACACGTAGAACACAATGTTGTCCCATGTCCCACCACGTAGCCACATGCAGATGGAGTTCAAACTGCGTAGCCTCAAGAATTTTGGCTAGAAATGGGTCTGCCGCATATACAGCGGGAAAAGTCGCTCAAACTGGGGCCGCACTCATCCAGCAGTGGATTTACGGGGAGGAGAGGGGGGGGGGTTACACGTACGGCGTTGTTGCATCTTGACTTATTTTTATTTATTCTAGATTTGAAGCTTTCGTGACTGCAAGGATTCATATTCTTAGGTTTTTTCGGTAAAGTCACGTAGGGAAAAAACATTAAAATTAATAAAAGTAAAATAAAATAAATAAACGGAGTGGTAGCTCCTGCAATCTCTCATTTACTTGATACAGCTGTCGTGGCTGTGACGGTACCACCTGAAGACGGAAGCTTGTGTTGCCTCCGAAACGTCGTGATTTTTATTTTATTTTACTTACATTAATTTTAATGTTTTTTTTTGCTGGTTCTCATGCCCGCAGATGGATCTGGCTCATCTTCGGCCCTGAAGTCGGCCATCGTTGCCGGCGTTTTTCTGGCCATCGCCGGAGCCGCCGTCTACGTGAATCGGTGAGTTTGCGGCCCCCTCGGCGCAGAAATAGACGGCGACGACGTTCGGAATGAAACGGCTGACTTTTTAAAACGTCCACTTGACGTTCGGTAGACGTCCAGTTGTCAGAAACGTCCAGTTGACGTTCGGTAGTTGTCCAATTGTCAGGTGACTCAGAGGACGAACGCTCACGTCACGTCTCGGCCGCCCCAGCGGTGAGATGTTAACTACCTCGCCTGGTATGCAGGAGGTTGTGGGATCGATCCTAACCCCCGACGCCTGCTGCTGTATATTTGGATGTTCTCCCCGTGGTCGCGTGGATTTTTCTACGGGGTCCTCCGGTTTTTCTCTTCCAACATTTAGAATCGACATCGCGCCTTGAGTCTTTGGCTACTGCAGTAGCCGTGTGGAGTTCCAGATGCAAATCACGGGTAGCAAATTTGTGAATGACGAGTGAATACCGTACGCACGCACAACAAAACAACTTTGCGTAAAAATGTCGGTGTCTTTTAGAATCAAAACCAGCCTCTTCGTTTATTCTGGAGAAATCCGATGAGCGGTGAAGCACTTATTCACAGATGCTCAGAAAGTTACATCAACAAAAAATACAAAAACACGATAAGGGTGCAGAGTGTAGTAAAGGAAAGCAAATCAATACAAAGACATCCGGAAAATGAATAAAGTACAGAAACTCCTCTACATACGAACGTTCATCTTATAAACTTTCGGTACATCCAGTTGCTTGTTCGGACCGAGAGTCGTTAAGTTCAAGCGCTGCGCAATATATGGTGGTGGTGGCATCAACATCTGCAGAACGTGAAGAACCAGTGGCATCTACATCTGCAGAACGTGAAGAACCAGTGGCATCTACATCTGCAGAACGTGAAGAACCAGTGGCATCTACATCTGCAGAACGTGAAGAACCAGTGGCATCTACATCTGCAGAACGTGAAGAACCAGTGGCATCTACATCTGCAGAACGTGAAGAACCAGTGGCATCTACATCTGCAGAACGTGAAGAACCAGTGGCATCTACATCTGCAGAACGTGAAGAACCAGTGGCATCTACATCTGCAGAACGTGAAGAACCAGTGGCATCTACATCTGCAGAACGTGAAGAACCAGTGGCATCTACATCTGCAGAACGTGAAGAACCAGTGGCATCTACATCTGCAGAACGTGAAGAACCAGTGGCATCTACATCTGCAGAACGTGAAGAACCAGTGGCATCTACATCTGCAGAACGTGAAGAACCAGTGGCATCTACATCTGCAGAACGTGAAGAACCAGTGGCATCTACATCTGCAGAACGTGAAGAACCAGTGGCATCTACATCTGCAGAACATGAAAAACCATTGGCATCCAGATCTGCAGATGACGGAAAGCAATATTGACCTCACAAATGCGAATTATCGAACTGACCTTTGCATAAATGCCGCAAATCTTGCAGTTTAAAAATAATAAACACCCCCAGGGCTCGCGGCTTTGTCCGGTGAGTTGAATTTCCTCCCAGACCTCCAGCCATGGCAGTTGTCGATTGTATCCCCTCGCTTCCTGAGGCACACACCCCGCACTCCCCACTTCTCCTCTATCAGTTGCCCCCCTTTTATACAACAACAACTGGTTAATTCCTGATTGGAGTGACTCAATCCTGTTTGGAGCGGTTCAATCCTGTTTGGGGTGGTTCAATCCTATTTTGGGTGGATTAATTCCCTATGGAGTGGCTCAGTCCCGTTTGGGGCAGCTCAAACCTGGTTGGAACGGTTCAATCCTGTTTGGGGTGGTTCAAACTTGTGTGGGGCGGTTAAATTCTGTTTGGGGTGGTTCAATCCTGTTTGGGGCGGATTAATTCACTATGGAGCGGCTCAGTCCCGTTCGGGGCAGCTCAAACCTGGTTGGAACGGTTCAATCCTGTTTGGGGCGGCTCACCCAATTCCACCGGAGTACAGTATTACGTTGTTGTCCTTCCCTAGCCGCACCTCCGACTAGCACGGTTGGCTACGTACGGTGTGAAAGAAGTTCAACATGCGTACATAAAAGCTGGACGTAACGTGTCGTGCACAATTAGATTTGAACCGTTGCAGTTTCAGTATCAAATTTATATTTAAAGCTTTCGTGACTGCAGGGATTCATCTTCATGGTTCTTTCGGTAAAGTCACGTAGAAGGGAAGTAGTAAAATAATAAAAATAAAACACAATAAAATTATTCTCACGACGTTTCGGCCACAACGCAAGCAGCCGTCCTCAGGTGAAGACCAGGACCAGGACCTTTTTTAATTAAATAATTGTATTGTGTTTTATTTTTATTATTTTATTACTTCCCTTCTACGTGACTTTACCGAAGAAACCAAGAAGAGTTTCAGTATCGTTCGTGGAATAACGCAAAGCGATTTGTGTGTTTGAACTTACTTCACACCGTACGTAGTCAACCTGTGCTGATCAGAGAAGGACACACAAACTAAACACAAAAACGCAGTTCTAAAGAAATACGTTTTCAATCTGGATGATTTCAAAGTGCATAGCTCCAGTGGCTTCCTAATATTGGTAACAAGAGACCCATAGAGACCCACAGAGATCCAGAAACTTGTATAGAACCTAATTCTACATTTGAAGCTTTCGTGACTGCAAGGATTCATACTCTTAGTGCATCACTTGATGCAGCAAATCTGGCTGTGACGGTCCCACCTGATGACGGAGACTTGTGTTGCCTCCGAAACGTCGTGATTTTATTGTTTTATTTTTATTAATTTTAATTTCATTTTTTACCTACGTGACTTTACCGAAAGAACTAAGGGTTTTTTTTTCTTCTTGGTTCTTTCGGTAAAGTCACGTAGAAGGGAAGTAATAAAATAATAAAAAATAAATAATAAAATAATAAAAACAAATATTTTTATTATTTTATTACTTCCCTTCTACGTGACTTTACCGAAAGAACCAAGAAGATGAATCCCTGCAGTCACGAAAGCTTTAAATCGAAACACTAAAAGTTTGTATAGAACCGTACATACACCGCACCTCCGTTGGCACGGTTGGCTACGTACGGTGCGAAAGAACTTCAACGTATCGTACACGCATACTCGTTTGTTCCACCCCCCCGCCCGCCACCCACCCACAGGCGATTCAAAGAATACTCGCCCGTCTACCAGCACGTGGCAGAGAACGGAGCGGCTGCCGGTGGATCGTGGGCTTCTTACGCCGGGATGCGGAGGCTTCTGGGCCTGGGCAGAAACGAAGAGGCCAGTCCGCTGCTCGCGACGGCGGCCACTGGGCGCGTCGTCTGAGCCGAGCCGTCTCTGGCAAGGTGGCCGGCAACCAGGCGGCTGTCTGTGAGATGCAAGTCAACCCTCGATAATATCACTGGTCAACACACTTTTTCTGGCATAAGGTATTCCAACGGTTTTAATGTAATTTTGGGGTGCCGATTCCAAATCAGTGTTTGTCTATCACATGAGGTTTTTGAGATGTCAAATATTGCATTTTCAATAAAAACTGCGGAAGAAAAATGTTAAATAAATGTGGATGTCTACGTAAAATTATCATATAAACACACTATCCTAAAAATACAGCACCATATTTTAACACTGAAGCAGTCACTGACTCGCAACAACTTGCAATCATAAGTGACAGAGTTAATTTCGGGTAAAATCAATGAAAATAGGGTATGCCGATAGCATATAAATGAGATGTGATAGGGAAAATCTGAGATCAGATTTGGAATCAGCACCCTGAAATTAGTCTAAAACAGCTGCAAAAGTCCAGGCCAGAAAAACATGCTTTTTTTGTTGACCAGTTATAAGCACGTTACAGAGACGCCAGTACTTACGAACGAGTTAAGTTCCAGAGGTGCTGTTCGTAAGTCGATTTGTTCGTAAGTCGATTTGTTCGTAAGTCGATTTGTTTGTGAGTTCAACTTTACTCCTGTCGATTCCAGACACGTTGTACGGCGTGTACACTAAACACGGGTAATGACTTTAAAATGTGTTTAATCTCCTGTAGATGCCACTTGTTCTTCATGTTCTGCAGATGTAGATGCCACTGGTTCTTCACGTTCTGTAGATGTAGATGCCACTTGTTCTTCACGTTCTGCAGATGTAGATGCCACTGGTTCTTCACGTTCTGCAGATGTAGATGCCACTGGTTCTGCACGTTCTGCAGATGTAGAAGCCACTGGTTCTTCACATTCTGCAGATGTAGATGCCACTGGTTATTCACGTTCTGCAGATGTAGAAGCCACTGGTTCTGCACGTTCTGTAGATGTAGATGCCACTGGTTCTGCACGTTCTGCAGATGTAGAAGCCACTGGTTCTTCACATTCTGCAGATGTAGATGCCACTGGTTATTCACGTTCTGTAGATGTAGATGCCACTTGTTCTTCACGTTCTGCAGATGTAGATGCCACTGGTTCTTCACGTTCTGCAGATGTAGATGCCACTGGTTCTGCACGTTCTGCAGATGTAGAAGCCACTGGTTCTTCACATTCTGCAGATGTAGATGCCACTGGTTATTCACGTTCTGCAGATGTAGAAGCCACTGGTTCTGCACGTTCTGTAGATGTAGATGCCACTGGTTCTTCACGTTCTATAGATGTAGATGCCACTGGTTCTTCACGTTCTGTAGATGTAGATGCCACTGGTTCTTCACGTTCTGTAGATGTAGATGCCACTGGTTCTTCACGTTCTATAGATGTAGATGCCACTGGTTCTTCACGTTCTGCAGATGTAGATGCCACTGGTTCTTCACATTCTGCAGATGTAGATGCCACTGGTTCTTCACATTCTGCAGATGTAGATGCCACTGGTTCTTCACGTGATGTAGATGCCACTGGTTCTTCACGTTCTGCAGATGTAGATGCCACTGGTTCTTCACATTCTGCAGATGTAGATGCCACTGGTTCTTCACATTCTGCAGATGTAGATGCCACTGGTTCTTCACGTGATGTAGATGCCACTGGTTCTTCACGTTCTGTAGATGTAGATGCCACTGGTTCTTCCCGATCTATAGATGTAGATGCCACTGGTTCTTCACATTCTGCAGATGTAGATGCCACTGGTTCTTCACGTGATGTAGATGCCACTGGTTCTTCACGTTCTGCAGATGTAGATGCCACTGGTTCTTCACGTTCTGTAGATGTAGATGCCACTGGTTCTTCCCGATCTATAGATGTAGATGCCACTGGTTCTTCACGTTCTGCAGATGTAGATGCTACTGGTTCTTCACATTCTGCAGATGTAGATGCTACTGGTTCTTCACGTTCTGCAGATGTAGATGCCACTGGTTCTTCACGTTCTGCAGATGTAGATGCCACTGGTTCTTCACATTCTACAGATGTAGATGCCACTGGTTCTTCACGTTCTGCAGATGTAGATGCCACTAGTTCTTCACGTTCTGCAGATGTAGATGCCACTGGTTCTTCACGTTCTGCAGATGCCACTGGTTCTTCACGTTCTGTAGATGTAGATGTCACTGGTTCTTCACATTCTGCAGATGTAGATGCCACTGGTTCTTCACATTCTACAGATGTAGATGCCACTGGTTCTTCACGTTCTGCAGATGTAGATGCCACTAGTTCTTCACGTTCTGCAGATGTAGATGCCACTGGTTCTTCACGTTCTGCAGATGCCACTGGTTCTTCACGTTCTGTAGATGTAGATGCCACTGGTTCTTCACGTTCTGTAGATGTAGATGCCACTGGTTCTTCACGTTCTGCAGATGTAGATGCCACTGGTTCTTCACGTTCTGCAGATGCCACTGGTTCTTCACGTTCTGTAGATGTAGATGCCACTGGTTCTTCACGTTCTGTAGATGTAGATGTCACCACCGCCATCTATTGCGCGGCGGTTGAACTTACGAATCTCGGGTCCGAACAGGCAACTGGGCATACGGACAGGTTTGTTCGTATCTCTGAAAGTTCTTAAGTCGATTGTTCGTGAGTAGAGGCGTCCCTGTACACTGAAAACAATTGACCCTAACAAAAAAATAGATGAAAGGTTTTAAGGAAATGATGGGGTGGGAGTGGTGGTTGGTTTGTGTTGATTTGGCACTCTGAATGCATCGGAACAAATAAAACTACATGTGTGTCGTCACGTGTGTCGTCACGTGTGTGCGACACAGGGGCAGCTGCCCACTACTATGGGGGTAGGGGGGGGGACCCCTATACAATTTTTTTTAACAACAATTCAAAATTTTAAGTTTTCGTGACTACAAGGATCCATACTCTTCGGTTCTTTCGGTAAAGTCACGTAGGTGAAAATAAAAATAATAAAAATAGAATAATACATTAAAAAATGATAAAAACATTAAAACAAATTTAGTTACTTTTTAAAATTCTATTTTTAATTTTCACCTACGTGACTTTACCGAAAGAACCAAAGAGTATAAAATGAACGACACTACAGCTGCCGGGGGCATCGGGATGATGGAGATGAGATGCGATGTTGAGGTGCTCTGAGACACTAGGGGCGTCGCAGCGGGGCGCGAAGAAAAAAAACAAAACTGCCGGCCAAACCCATGGGTCTGTCCAGCGGTTTTGTTGGGTCTAGCCAGCGGTTATGGTTTTTTTTGCTTCTTTTTCGCAATTTAAGTAATCCGTGAGTGATTCGATCAATTTAGGCTATGAAAAAATAATTCATTTGTTGACCTTACGCAGATGTCGGCTGTCGTCGCATCTCGCCCATCGTACCAACGTAGGCGGACCACTGACTGTCTGTTTGTGGGGGGCCATAGCCTGCCCCCCCCACACCAACCTCATTGCGCACGGCATATTTAACGGTGCTTTAGGACCATCGGCTGTACGCGCGATAATCCGATCGAGTGTTTCCGCACTAACCACCGTCACCGCCACCACCACCACCAACCAACACAGACCAGTGAAAGAGATGTGGTCAAACAACAACAACAACGCGGGGAGAGGCCATCTCATTCAGCAGCGGCCATAGCCGCTGGCCTGTAAACTATTATTGACCATTGTGTTCATCGTACGCAGTGGCGTGAGCATGCAATTTGCGGGGCTGCGTCCTTTAATATTTTTGTTCATTCTCATCGTCCGTCCAGCGGTGGCGGTGAATGTAACCGACGTTATTTTGCGCATTTACGACAACTTAGAGAGACAATCTCATAAGCTTTGGGACATTCCCCGTAGCTGAACATTTGCTTTAACCCCCCTCCGCCCCCCACTTCATTTAACCGCTTTTTCTGCCACCGGTTCTCATAACCACCGATGGGATTGGAGGCTTGAGTTACTTATATTGTAGGATAATATTATATCCAATTTAGCACAGGCACAGAGCACACTGATGTGCAATGTAACTAAGAGTTCACAAAAATCACCTATAAATCCTCTGATACGTGCATTGTCCTGGTGCGGTTCGCATTTTGGCCTTCGCTGGTCTGAAACTCGCGAGACGAGGCCAATAAAGAATGCTGCCGTCTCTCTGGTGTGGGCCAATCAGCTTCAAAGACAATGCAAATATTATTATCAGAGCATTCTAGATTTGAAGCTTTCGTGACTGCAAGGATTCATACTCTTAGGTTTTTTCGGTAAAGTCACGTAGGTAAATTTAGTTGTGACGGTCCCACCTGAAGACGGAGACTTGTGTTGCCTCCGAAACGTCGTGATTTAATTGAGTTATTTTTCATTTAATATTATTTAATTTTATTATTTTTTACCTACGTGACTTTACCGAAAAAACCTTATCAGAGCATGCTTGTTTGAATGTTCATCACAAGTAGCGTGTGTGGTCAATGCAGACTTGATTTCTTGTAAAAAGGTATCCATTCGGTGTTTGAACATCTTCATACAACTCCTGTTTCATTGCCAGAAAGGGTAAAAAAAAAACCCATTCTTATTTTTCATGCTTATTTTTAGAGTTAAGTCACCCCCCAAGTCCGTGACCAGACTAGCAAACCGAGAGAGTTTCTCCAGCTGGGCTCCATCTCAGTTGTTGAAACGGTGGGTTTCGTCTCGCCTGAAATCAACGACCGGCACAAGTCACTTGTACGGCAGAGTGTGGAGTCACTCCCGCGAGACACATTTTTAACTTTTTTGCGCCGACGTCTTGCGGGCGTGGACGAGTAGGCCAAAGGCCCTCTTCGTGTGCGAGGGCCCCTTTCTGGCAGCAGGTGGTGCGGGCCGGGAAAACAGTTGCAGGGCTGCACCTTTGCCTTTTTAATTCATTGTACTGCCAACTGACCTATTTTTGGCCTCGAAGCACTGTTAGGTGTAGTTGTGAGCCGAGTTGAGTGTTTTGTACCCAACATGCATTTCAGTATTTTGGCCATGAAATTGTGCTTTTTATGAACTTTGCCAACGGCGTAGCTTGTTTAGCCAACGTAACAATAAAATGACATCGGGACAATGTTCGTTTCTGCGCCAATTTTACCTTCTGACTGTGCATGTGCGTGCGTGAACCCGACATGGGAGTTACGTTTGAAAGAAAGCGGATCAGGCCCCCCCCCACCCCCATTAATTATTGATCACTTAATATTTCAAAAGTAATGGACATTCCATACTCTTAGGTTTTTTCGGTAAAGTCACGTAGGAAAAAAATAATGAAAATAAATCAATTAAACCAATAGTGATTTAATTGATTTATTTTCATTTAATACTTTATTTTCATTTTATACCTACGTGACTTTACCGAAAAAACCCAAGAGTATGAATCCTTGCAGTCACGAAAGCTTCAAATCTGGAATTGGACATTAAATTTTCGTGCATGTTTTAAAAAGTGAGATATTTTTACCCATTTCATTACCTTCATGGTTACTTTATTTAAACGAACCAGGTGAATTGAACTTAATAAAATTGACTTTCAAGGGAAGTTATAAACCAGGATCAAGGTGTGTGTGTGTGTGAATGAGCCCAGATCTGTACAACTTTATTGACACTGGGTATCTTAAAATCTGGTAAGGTGTACGAGTCTCCGGCAAGTGACTGAAATTGCATTTCCCAAACCTCCAATCGAGGCGGCACGGTGACGCAACACAGAACCACTCCTGCCCGACACAAAGACACCACCTGGGTTCAAGACCCGACTCGGGAAGTCTGCCTGCTTCTCTCCCTCTTCTGCGTGGGCTTCATCTTTTGGGGTTTCCCCATGTACTCCCCAAAGCTTAAAAAAAACTAAAACTGGTACTGGCCAAAACATCCCAATGCTGAACAATTACAGGACATATTTTCGGTTATTTCGGTAAAGCCACGTAGAAGGGAGATAATAAAATAATATAAATATAAAACAATAAAAATTCTCACGACGTTTCGACTGCAACACAAGCAATCGTGATCAGGTGTGAAATCCACAGCAAGAAAATTTGAAAAAAATTCACCCGTAAAAACAAAGTTTTTCACTCAATCCTTTATATGCGTGGCGGCTAGAGTCCTCTCGTCCTCTGGCTTGAGATGGCTGCCACCTATGGGTCAGATGATTGTCTGCCAGCATTAAGCAATTGGTAATTAAATATTTAATTTTATTTCCCTAAACAGTGTAAAATTTTGGAAAAATTTTTCACGAAAATTGTCACGCACAACGAGTCTGTGTGGCAAATGTCAGCTCCATTGGATCACGGGAAGTGGGTTAAAAAACGACCGAAAGATTTGCACGGTCGTAAGCAAGCAAGCAAGCACGCAAGCATGCAAGCAAGGGAACTTAATATAAAGGATTTAAAAAGTGGCAATTTTCTTTCTGTGGATTTCACACCTGATAATGATTGTGTTGCTTCCGAAACGTCGTGATTTAATTTAGTTTTATTTTATTTTCACCTACGTGACTTTACCGAAAAAACCAAAGAGTATCTTCCCAAACAAAAATTTGCGCTCTCTAGAAAGTTGCAACAGGGTCCGAGTATGAATTAAGCCCTCCAATGCATGTTCACCTTTTTGTTTCGTTTTAATGGGTACTCCTCCTCCTATAGGGCCACAGAACTTGGGCAATAGTTGGGACCCGGTTCTGGGAGATGATTGAATGAAATGGCGCTCTATACAATTTATACTTTCAACGAAGACAGAAACGCACAACGCCAGGAGTAGACCATCAAAACAACGCAACGTGACGTTTCAACTGCTTTATTATGAACTTGAATGTACATGGGTAAAATGTCAAACGAAGAGCTCGTTGTGACTTGCAAGCGGGCAGTTTCGCGATAAGCTCTGCGCGCTGTGGAGGGAGGAGCCCTTCCACCATATGCACGTGTGCTTCGAGATTTAAAACGTTCGGCTAAAAACAAACCAACTCAAAACTTCGTTAAAAACGTACACAACGGTGCGTATCACACACACACCTGGGCTGAAGCACGCTGCGTTCACCGCACCATCGTAAAAAAACCATCGCGGCAATTTCTAAAATCGCGAGTGGAGTATTATTGACCTACGGGTCAAAGCGTCGGTGAGCGCACGTTCTCGCGTGCGCGATTCCCAACTGACGCAATTTAATTGTGGAAATGTATTTATTCGTATTGTTTGCTGTTAAAAGTCTGCTGGGGCCACCGGACCCGCCATGATATGACGTATCCAGCGTACATCGTCCGGCAGATGCGGTCACAGCCACTGCACAAGTGGGTGAATCGGGGTTGCGACTTCGACTCTCGCGAACTTCTTTCGCACGCTCCGTGCGTAGCAAACCCCCCGCGTGCTAAGCGTCATCTTTGAATGATGATGACGTTGACGACGAAGCTTGGAAAGCCGAATGGAGTTCAGAAGAAGTCGCAAACCACAAACACCTCCACGTCGTGAGAGATGCGATGATGATGATGCAGAAGATCCATCTCCACCCGTGAAGTTTCTTGGCCACAACCCCTGAACCACATCATCCACTGCAGAAACCATAGCAGCAGCAGCTGAGAGTAAAACAGATAATCATTGATGATGAACATATGGGAATTTTAAATAAAAATCGAGGAACATCGAACATACATTCAATGCCCAATTTACAATTACATAGGAAGGCGTCGTCGTCATAATCACCGCAGCGACGATTCACCGCCATCCACCACTCCTCACGCAATCATCTGGCTCATCAACCAGCTCGGGGTGTCACGTAACAGCTGCTTCTCTCTAACTCAACATCAGCCACACGAAGAAGACAGAGCTCTACAGACTCACACAGAGACCCACAGACTCACATAGAGATCTATAGACTCACACAGAGACCCACAGACTCACATAGAGACCCACAGACTCACACAGAGACCCACAGACTCACACAGGGACCCATATACTCACACAGAGACCTACAGACTCACACAGAGACCCACAGACTCACACAGAGACCTACAGACTCACACAGAGACCCATAGACTCACACAGAGACCTACAGACTCACACAGAGATCTATAGACTAACACAGAGACCCACAGACTCACATAGAGATCTATAGACTCACACAGAGACCCACAGACTCACATAGAGATCTATATGAAGGAGGCGTCATCATCAGAGCAGCGACGATGCACCACTCCGCTAACGTGTGACGCAATCATTTGATTCATGGAACCGCCTCGATCTAAAACAGGGGTGGGGAACGTCCGGCCCATGGGCCGTATGAGGCCCGCGAAATCATTTGGTGTGGCCCTGCCAAGGCAACTGCAGGTGGGACTCGAAATTAAATAAATCTCGGAGCAAATCTGGAAAAGCAGTTGCGAGTAGCAGCAACATCATCAATACCAGCCAACATCACATGCCTCGCCAAAGAGAAGCAGTTCCAGCCCATCGCATTAGGGGTGAGTTAATTAAATGTTCGACCAAATATAACGGGCTAATTTTTAAGTGGATAATTTTGTATGGCCCGCGAATGATGTTATAAATATCCAAATGGTCCTGGGCAGAAAAAATTTCACAGGCGACGAAGTCACAGCTGACCCGTCAACCGTCGGGGGCTATGTAACATCATCGAATTAGCGCAGTTGAGGAGCGTCTTCTCGCGAGCGACATTCGCAGAGCTTGGCACTTTCACGATTCCATTCAACATTTGCACATTGCGTGTCCGTGTGCGGTGAACTTCTTTCGCCCAGCGTGCTCATCGGAGGAGCGCGGTGTACGTAGGTACGTGCGGTGAATATTCCGCCCATCGCGTGCCGTTTAGCCGGTGCGATTGCTGCTATTTACTCTTAGAGCCTGAAGCTTCTGGTCGCTCGCACATCGCAACAGGTGACCCCACACCCCCCCCCCCCCCCCCCCCACGACTACTCATCGGTTCCGGAATTTACTCAATTCTAGATTTGAAGCTTTCATGACCGCAAGGATTCATATTCTTAGGTTTTTTCGGTAAAGTCAGCCACACCGAACCTCACAATAATAATATTCAGGTGCTTGCCTTGGCTCCTCCCACCCTCAACCTTACTTGATACAGCTATCGTGAGCTGTGACGGTTCCACCTGAAGACAGAAGCTTGTGTTGCCTCCGAAACGTCGTGATTTTTATTTAATTTTTATTTGACTTTTATTAATTTTAATTTTTTACCTACGTGACTTTAGCGAAAAAACCTAAGAATATTTAATCAATTATCAGACGTGGTTCTAAACTAAACTATTCTAAATGTTACCAGGTAAGGGACCGCTGAGCTGCATAGCGCTTTTTCAGGTAGCGACGCTGGCTATCGCCAAGGTATAGCTCAACGAAAGCGGGCTTATCATCATGTGGAAATGTACAGCTGTACAAATACATCTAAAAGTGTGACGCCGATTCTAAACGTGGAGGGAAAAACCAGAGGACCTGGGGAAAGATCCACGTGACCACGGGGAGAGAGAGGGAGAGACACGCAAACTCCAAATGAACAGCAGCAGGCGTCAGGGTCGGGATCCTGTCTGCCAGGCGAGGGGGGTTAACAACTTACCGCTGGGGCGGCTGAGACGTGACGTGGGTGTTCATCCTCTGAGCCACTTGACAACTGGATGTCTACCGAACGTCAATTGAACGTTTTCAAACATCAGGCGTTTCATTCTGAACGGGATATGTCGATCAACGAGTCAATATCTTCTTGGTTCTTTCGGTAAAGTAACGTAGAGGAGAAATAATAAAATAATAAAACATAATAAAATAATTCTCACAACGTTTCGGCCACAACGCAAGCAGCCATCCTCAGGTGAAGAACAGGTCTGTCGGAAAGACAGCGTCTGAATGACGCGTCTGAATGATGCTGTCTTTCCGACAGACCTGTTTTTCACCTGAGGACGGCTGCTTGCGTTGTGGCCGAAACGTCGTGAGAATTGTATTTTATTATGTTAAATTTTTATTATTTCATTATTTCCCTTCTACGCGACTTTACCGAAAGAACCAAGAAGATGAATCCCTGCAGTCACGAAAGCTTTCAATCGAAACGAGTCAATATTCTTTCAAAATGCACAATGTCAAACAAAACTGTCAGGAAGTTGTGGAGTTCAACGCACGTGATGAGGTCACACTCATGATGGCGTGTGCTCCCCCGTGACCTGTGTTCGCTTTCATCTCACTTTTATTACTCATTTCCACGAATGTTCACCACAATTTCGAAATTTGAATTCGCCAGCCGATGAACCATGAGGGGGGCTCCCCACACGTGAAATGTCAGCGATCATGTTCTATCGCGGCATGCCGATTGTTGTTGGAAGCGTTCAGAGTATTTGGCGGCTACTATAAATTTCCAACACGGATGATGTCCGTTCAAGATGTTAACAACTTCGCCTGGTCTACAGGAGGTTGTCAGTTCGATCCCGACCCTGACGCCTGCTGCTGTATAATTGGAGTTTGCGTGTCTCTCTCTCATCATCATCACGGTGGCTAGGAGATGTTAACTACCTCGCCTGGTACGCAGGAGGTCGTGGGTTCGATCCCGACCCTGACGATTGTATATATATGTCGATTTTTCTCTGGGATCCTCCAGTTTTTCCCTTCCAACATTAAGCATCAACAACGCGCGTGGTCGCGTGGATTTTTCTCCGGGTCCTTCGGTTTTTCCCTCCACATTCACAATCGACGCGCGTTTAAGAGTATTTGGCTGCTTAGAAATTTCCACGCGATAAGCCACTTCGTTCAGCTTCCATTTGCGATATTCAGGTCGCAAATGAAAGCTGAAGCATCTGCGAAAAAAAAAGCTTCAAAGAGTTCACCGTCGGCTTTCTTCGGGACAAAATTTTTTAATAAAAGATTGTGATCGTCTCACTCCCCCGGCACAAGACCGCCCGGTTAAAAAAGAAAAATACCCACAGACTACGTGGTGTATTCGCGTGTCTTGTGTGTTGCAGACACAAGACACAATTTGCTGGTGGATCCACAAGTAAAACTATAGAAAAACTGAGGGGTGCGCTTTTTAATGAGGAGTCGCGCAACCAATTCTCACACCGAGATCCAGGACCCGCTCCGTGGCCTGACGCAAATGCCGCACGTCAAATAAAACGCCCTCCTCCCCCCTCTCCACCCCCACTACCCCCCACCAAGACCACCCCTCCCCGCTCCCCACCCCCCCGTATAGCCTAAACAGACTCATGGGGCAAGTGCTGTTAGCGTGACGCACCGATGAAGCCCGGCACGGCACACGGAGGCAGTGGCCAGCACCACGCCAGGCCGCCTTTGCCTCCCGATCGGCGATGATGACTGCACACTGCGCCAAGGTACTCATTTGAGGCCGAGTCGACCTAGGGGGAGGCCCAGAACCAGGTTCAGACAATCGTCACCGGTGGGCATTGGTGGCAGTGAGAGCGGGAATCGAACTCGCTGGGTTTGCGGCGCGCTAACCAACTACACAACCCTCACCCACCCCCAAACCCTCCACCGCACACACACGGTACCGCCGTGTGGCATGGCAACGCAATAAAAAAATGTTTCTTCCGTATGGCGGGGACGTTGTAAACACGAGACCAACGATCGCCGAAGAAACGTCCCGAAGAGGTTTTAAAAAATATAAAATAATAATAACACACCACTGGACGCCAAAAACACACGGCCGGTGATCGACCGGTGGCGGCTGCGGCGGCGGCGATGGGCAGAGGTCGCAAACGGGTTTTGATTCCTTACCCGTACCCGGCCGCACCAGGGTCGCAAACGGGTACCCGTACCCGTACCTGGCCGGGTACGGGTACCCGTTCCCTACCCGTACCCGTACCCTACCCGAAATGAGTGACAAACGGTTACTCACCAGTGACTCACGGCCTACCCGTACCCGGCCGCACCAGGGTCGCAAACGGCTACCCGTACCTGCCCGGGTACGGGTAGCCGGGTATCGGGTAGGGTACGGGTATCGGGTACCGGTTGCGACCTCTGGGATGAAGCCATGCTGCAGGCGCGGGTGGGTTGATTCTAGGAACTAGAATTGTTTGAAGAGACAAGACGTTGGTAAATGAGTGACAAACGGTGACTCACCGGTGACTCACGGCCTACCCGTACCCGGCCGCACCAGGGTCACAAACGGGTACCCGTATCCGGCCGTGTACGGGTAGCCGGGTATCGGGTAGGGTACGGGTATTGGGTGCCCTGTTGCGACCTCTGGCGGTGGGTCAGCGCAACCGGCGGGAGAAATCAGTTCTTGCCGTCGGCGTCATCGTCCCTGGCCGCCGTGTAAATACTTTGGTTCCGCCGCTTGATCTTTTTCACGCCGCTCGCCCCATCGGTGGCGGCGGCGGCGGCGGCCGTCGGCGCTTGGGCCTGCTCGGGCGTCCGCTTGCACGACGGGGCCTGGCTGCTGGCCGGAGAGGTCATGGGGGTCGCGTCGCCCTGGGTGCCCTGCTGCTGCTGCTGCTGCTTCTTCGCAACATCCGCAGCCTCATCTTTGTTCACCCCTTTTTTTGAGATGAGAGGATGGTAGGAGGGGAGGGGGGGACACCGCACGGAGTGTTTCAGGCAACGCACGGAGTGTTTCAGGCAACGCGCACGGCGTGTTTCAGGCAAAGCACACGGAGTGTTTCAGGCAACGAGCACGGAGTGTTTCAGGCAATGCACATGGAGTGTTTCAGGCAAAGCACACGGAGTGTTTCAGGCAAAGCACACGGAGTGTTTCAGGCAAAGCACACGGAGTGTTTCAGGCAACGAGCACGGAGTGTTTCAGGCAAAGCACACCGAGTGTTTCAGGCAAAGCACACGGAGTGTTTCAGGCAAAGCACACGGAGTGTTTCAGGCAACGAGCACGGAGTGTTTCAGGCAAAGCACACGGAGTGTTTCAGGCAAAGCACACGGAGTGTTTCAGGCAAAGCACACGGAGTGTTTCAGGCAAAGCACACCGAGTGTTTCAGGCAACGAACACGGAGTGTTTCAGGCAATGCACATGGAGTGTTTCAGGCAAAGCACACGGAGTATTTCAGGATACACCACTATACACTACACCACTATACACGACACTACTACACTCTACACTACTATACACTACACTACTATACACTACTATACTCTACACTACTATACACTACACCACTATACACTACACTACTATACACTACACTACTATAAACTACACTACTATACTCTACACTACTATACACTACACTACTATACACTACACTACTCTACACTACACTACTCTACACTACTATACTCTACACTACACTACTATACACTACTATACACTACACTACTATACACTACACCACTATACACTATACACTACTATACTATACACTACTATACTCTACACTACTATACTCTACACTACTATACACTACACCACTATACACTACACTACTATACACTACACTACTATACTCTACACTACACCACTATACCACTATACACTACACTACTATACTCTACACTACTATACTCTACACTACTATACACTACACTACTATACACTACTACTACTATACACTACTATACACTACACTACTATACACTACACTACTATACACTACACTACTATACACGACACCACTACACTCTACACCACTATACACTACACTACTATACACTACACTACTATACACTACACTACTATACACTACACTACTATACTCTACACTACTATACTCTACACCACTATACACTACACTATACTCTACACTACTATACACGACACTACTATATACTACACCACTACACTCTACACCACTACACTCTACACCACTATACACTACACTACTATACACTACTATACACTATACAGTACACCACTATACACTACACCAATATACACTACACCACTATACCCTACACATTGGACTTTGATGCCCGTCGTTAAGCGATTAGTTGTTAAGAGGAGGGTTCTACTGTTCATTTCAACAGAGAACCCCAGAGCTTGGGCAACTCTTGAAGTGCCGGCTCTCCGCCCGGCTGGCTTTCCCTGCTCGTCCGTCGGCTCCCGACAGCGATGTGCACGATGCCAAACGACGCTTTATGATGCCGTCTTATCGTTCTGATCGCGCTCCTCCGAATGCGACCTCATAGCTCCATCACGTATCACGTATTCTGATTACAGAATTCACAATCATGAGATCCCAATGTCTTAGATGTCTTTCAAAAGCATCATCTCTGTCCACATGCATCTCCCGTCTCTCTTGCGCCTCGAGCTTTTTTTGTTTATTTAATGTCCTCAGTTTGAGAGTCGATCTCAACGCAAAACACCCGGGGCGAACCCTCTCGTCCACACGAGTCCCAGGCACACCGCTCAGTGAAAGATCCACCTCCTGGGCCACGCACCACGCTCGCGCGATTCACCAACCCCGGGTCCCCAAAACGTCAGAGCGCAGGGCCCCCCCCCCCCCCCCCCCCCCCGTGCAGCGTGACGCGCCGGACAAGTTTGGGGGGCCTAGGCTCCAAAGACGACGCAATCCCCCGGCGGGGCCTCACCGTCTTCCCCGGGGTTCCGTGAACCGCCGACGTCAGCGTCACTGTGGCCGTGATGGACTCGCGCGCTACAATCATCCTCCTCCTTCTCCTCCACCTTCTCCTCCACCTTCTCCTTCTCCTCCTCCTCGTCGTCGTCATCGTCCTCATCGTTGTCATCGTCCTCCTCTTCATCGTCGTCGAGCGGTATCTCGTCGGGGTTCACCGACGAGGAGGAGAGGCCGGACGTGTCCGCTGAGTAGTCGCTCGGCGGGTCCGGGGAGAAGGCGGCGTCCTCCTGGCGCCACGAAGCGCTGAGCCTAGGGGCGGCAATTCCCGTGTGAAGGGACTCAGCAGAGCGCCTCTTGATTGACGACCAAACAGGTGCCGCACGAGACCCGAAAGAAAAATTAACGCGGCCATGGGCTGAGAGAGAGAGACGCGCGGACCTCACGCAAATACACAACGGGTGTCGTCAGGGGTCGGGATCGAACCCACGTTCCGCTAAATGCGGAGGGGAAAAACAAAAACGGACGACTCGGAGAAAAACCACGTGACCATGGGGAGAGAGAGAGAGAGAGAGACACGCAAACCTCACGCAAATACACAACGGGTGTCGTCAGGGGTCGGGACCGAACCCACGGCGGCCTCCTGCGCGCCAGGCTCGGCAGCCGACACCTCGCTAGCGCGGCACCCAAACAGTACGGCGGACGGGGCGGGGTGGAAGGGGGCAGTCGGTTTTGTCCGTCCCACCCGTGTTGTGCGGCGTCTCTCACCGCCTGGGCGTGCTGCTGAAGGGGCTGCCCCTCGTCCCCGCCGCCGGCGGCGCCCACCATCGCGTAAGGGTCGACAAGGCCCAGGCGTCCGCAAAGCTCCGTGGTCTGCGGGTTGGGGCTGTGGGCGGCCTCGCGGCCGTTGTTGGGCCGCTGCGGGTCGTAGGCCGGCACCGTCGGCAGGAAGTTCTCGGCGACCCGCAGTCCGTCGCCGAGAGTCTCCGCCAACATCCTCACCTCCTCCTCTGACACGCTGTAGTCCCAGCTGGCGTGGCGGTGGCGGCGACGGCGGCCGTGGGGAGGAGAGAGAACGGAAGAGTGTGTTTTTTGTCGTGGTAAGTGGTCGTTTAAACACGCCGGTAGTAGCAACAGCAGCAGCGGATGCGTTCTCCGAAAAGTGGCCGCCGGCAAGGGGAAAAGGCGCGTGCAGCGTAACAGGAGGAACTTCACCATTGGAAGCTCATTTGCCAGTAAAAAATATGATAATTGTTTTTTTAACCTTCTATCTGGCAACAAAACTGACACCTTTTTCTACAAGGAGTCATGTTTGCATAGACCACAATACCTGCAGTCATAATGCAAAGAAAAACATAACTCTGATAATGTATGCACTGTCAAACCCATGTGAGACTAGGCTCTAAGGAAAGCTGTCTCGGGTGTGGACCAATCAACTTCAAGCACAGTGCATACATTATCAGAGTTATGTTTTTTGTTTGCATTATGACTGCAGGTATTGTGTTCTATGCAAACTTGACTACAGGAGGAACTTCTCCACAAATCTGGCTGTCCGCCTGATGAAGCTGGTTGTAATCACTGGCGAAATGTCGTACACTCAAGATTGTAAATGTTGTGGCTTGGCTCTCCAACACACCGGTTAGTGCTGTACTAGTTTACTACACTATACACTACTATACACTACACTACTATACACATCACTACTACACTATACACTACACTACTATACACTACACTACTATACACATCACTACTACACTATACACTACACTATACACTACACTACACACTACTAGTGACGAATTGGCCACGTTCTGTTTACGTGACAAATCTTACTAGTTGGCTGTGTCGGGTGGTGGCGGGTTTAACGACACATTTATATATTTATGGACGCCGCGCATCCCGCGTTATGCTAGAACCCGCGTTGTTGCGAAAATGCATTGTAGTGTGAACACGGCGTGGCGAGAATACCGCGTAGTCTGAACACCAACGCGTTATGTGAGGACTTGCCACAAACAATACTTGCCCTCGCAACCGGCTACACCGGCCTGCGGTGGCTAGGAGATGTTAACTACCTCGCCCGGCATACAGGAAGTCGTGGGTTCGATCGTGACCCTGACGCCTGCTGCTGTATATTTTGAGTTACACTACTATACACTACACTATACGCTACACCACTGTACACTACACCACTATACACTACACCACTACAACACTATACACTACACCACTATACACTACACTGTTATACACTACACCACTATACACCACACTACTATACACTACACCACTATACACCACACTACTATACACTACACTATACACTACACCACAATACACTACACTATACACTACACCACACCACTCTACACTCCACACTACACCACACACTGGGCTCTCGTCGCGAAGCAACTATTCGTTAACAGTGGTGCTCGTCAAGACGAGTCCTACTGCAGATGATGGGGATACTCCACCCCCCCGCCCGCCCCACCCCCCCCCCCCCACCCCCCCGTCCACCCCCCCCCCCCCCACCCCCCATGGTTCGTACCGTTCGTGCAAGCTCTTGTTCTCAGGCACGTGTTGCTTTTCCGGCGTTGTGCTCACCAGGTGGTTGGTGGCCTGCAGGATGGCCAACCACTCAGGGTCCCACTCCAGCTGCAGGGGCCCCTCCCCGGAGTGCGGGACATCCAGCACCTGAGTGAAGGGGGGAGGGGCCTTTAGGTGTTTGTTGTTGTTGTAGTTGTCGTTGTTGTTGTCGTTGTTGCGAAGCCGGCGTGAGGTTTTCCGCCTCGCGCAAAGTCGCTCGGGTTTAAATTGGCATGAACAAAACTAAAAAAGAAAGTTCGATTTAAAGCTTTCGTGACTGCAGGGATTCATCTTCTTGGTTCTTTCGGTAAAGTCACGTAGATTGGAAATAATAAATTAATAAAAAATAAAACATAACGCTACCCCTACCCCCTCCCTTTGATGCTGCTAATCCTGCATAATGCACGGGCATAATGACTTTAAACCCCTCGCCAAACCTCATACGCATTTCACAAGTAGTACATTCAGACGCTGTCTTTCCAACAGACCTGTTCTCCACCTGAGGACGGCTGCTTGCGTTGTGGCCGAAACGTCGTGAGAATTGTATTTTATTATGTTTTATTTTTATTATTTTATTATTTCCCTTCTACGTGACTTTACCGAAAGAACCAAGAAGATGAATCCCTGCAGTCACAAAAGCTTTAAATCGAAATTTCACAAATGATAGCTCAACAAAGTGGCCCACCACTTGGTTATTTTTATAGCGGCAACATAATCTAAACAGTCTAAACGCGTGACGTCGATTCTAAACGTGGAGGGAAAAACGAGAAGACCCGAAGACAAAATCCACGCGACCACGGGGAGAGAGAGAGAGAGAGACACGCAAACTCCAGTCACGGAAACTTCAAATCTAGATTGAAATCTAGAGTCCATATAACAACAGGCGTCTGGGTCGGGATCGAACGCCCGGCCATCTGCATACCAGGCGAGGAAGTTAACATCTCGCCACCACGGCATCCCTTACATAAATAAATACATTTTACAAGTTCAACGTCACTCAGCAGCAGCAGCAGCCGATGCTGCCGCCCCAGCAGCCGTATAATCTCGTCACGAGGTGAGGGGGGGGGGGGCGGAGGACGGGGGGGGGGGGGGGGGGGGGGGACCCCACCTGTAAAAACTCCCGCTGAGGAAGGCATTTGTCCAGCGCCAAGAAGCGCGTCGTCTTAACGGCGTCCTCCCCTTCCTTTTTCTAGACGGGGGAGAATAAAAAGATGATCTGTGAACGTCACTTTGAAACCCAGGGGCTCTGACCCCAGGGGTGTGGGTAGCGAGGCATGGCTAAGTCATCGAAAGCACAAATTAAGCACGGGGCACGCAGTAAAGTTTAAGCACCACTAGTTTATGGGCAGTGAGAGTCTATGGGCAGTGTGAGTCTATGGGCAGTGTGAGTCTATGGGCAGTGTTGAGTCTATGGGCAGTGTGAGTCTATGGGCAGTGAGAGTCTATGGGCAGTGAGAGTTTATGGGCAGTGAGAGTCTACGGGCAGTGAGAGTCTATGGGCAGTGAGAGTTTATGGGCAGTGAGAGTCTATGGGCAGTGAGAGTCTATGGGCAGTGTGAGTCTATGGGCAGTGTTGAGTCTATGGGCAGTGAGAGTTTATGGGCAGTGAGAGTCTATGGGCAGTGTGAGTCTATGGGCAGTGTGAGTCTATGAGCAGTGAGAGTCTATGGGCAGTGTGAGTCTATGGGCAGTGAGAGTCTATGGGCAGTGAAGGTTTATGCGCAGTGTTAGTTAATGGGCAGTGAGTCTATGGGTAGTGTGAGTCTATGGTGCAGTGTTGAGTCTATGGTGCAGTGTTGAGTCTATGGGCAGTGTGAGTCTATGGGCAGTGTTGAGTCTATGGGCAGTGTTGAGTCTATGGGCAGTGTAAGTCTATGGTCCACTGTTGAGTCTATGGTGCAGTGTTGAGTCTATGGGCAGTGTGAGTCTATGGGCAGTGTGAGTCTATGGGCAGTGTGAGTCTATGGGCAGTGTGAGTCTATGGGGAGTGTTGGGTCTATGGGCAGTGTTGAGTCTATGGGCAGTATGCGTTTGTGGGCAGTGAGAGTATATGGGCAGTGAAAGTCTATGGGTAGTGTGAGTCTATGGGCAGTGTTAGTCTATGGGCAGTGAGTCTATGGGTAGTGTGAGTCTATGGTGCAGTGTTGAGTCTATGGGCAGTGTGAGTCTATGGGCAGTGAGAGTCTATGGGCAGTGTGAGTCTATAGGCAGTGTTGAGTCTATGGGCAGTGCTGAGTCTATGGGTTGTGTGAGTCTATGGGCAGTGTTGAGTCTATGGGCAGTGTGAGTCTATGGGCAGTGTGAGTCTATGGGCAGTGAGAGTCTATGGGCAGTGTGAGTCTATAGGCAGTGTTGAGTCTATAGGCAGTGTTGAGTCTATGGGCAGTGCTGAGTCTATGGGCAGTGAAAGTCTATGGGTTGTGTGAGTCTATGGGCAGTGTTGAGTCTATGGGCAGTGTGAGTCTATGGGCAGTGTGAGTCTATGGGCAGTGTGAGTCTATGGGCAGTGAGAGTCTATGGGCAGTGTTGAGTCTATGGGCAGTGTTGAGTCTATGGGCAGTGTGAGTCTATGGGCAGTGTGAGTCTATGGGCAGTGTGAGTCTATGGGCAGTATGAGTCTATGGGTAGTGAGAGTCTATGGGCAGTATGAGTCTATGGGTAGTGTGAGTCTATGGGCAGTGAAAGTCTATGAGCAGTGAGAGTCTATGGGCAGTGAAAGTCTATGAGCAGTGAGAGTCTATGGGCAGTGAAAGTCTATGAGCAGTGAGAGTCTATGGGCAGTGTGAGTCTATGGGCAGTGTGAGTCTATGGGCAGTGAAAGTCTATGAGCAGTGAGAGTCTATGGGCAGTGAAAGTCTATGAGCAGTGAGAGTCTATGGGCAGTGTTGAGTCTATGGGCAGTGTGAGTCTATGGGTAGTATGAGTCTATGGGCAGTGCTGAGTCTAAGGGCAGTGTGAGTCTATGGGCAGTGTGAGTCTATGGGCAGTGATGAGTCTATGACAGTGTGAGTCTATGGGTAGTGTGAGTCTATGGGCAGTATGAGTCTATGGGCAGTGTGAGTCTATGGGCAGTGAGAGTCTATGGGCAGTGTGAGTCTATGGGCAGTGTGAGTCTATGGGCAGTGTGAGTCTATGGGCAGTGATGAGTCTATGACAGTGAGAGTCTATGGGCAGTGTGAGTCTATGGGCAGTGTGAGTCTATGGGCAGTGTGAGTCTATGGGCAGTGTGAGTCTATGGGCAGTGAGTCTATGGGCAGTGTGAGTCTATGGGTAGTATGAGTCTATGGGCAGTGCTGAGTCTATGGGCAGTGAGAGTCTATGGGCAGTGCTGAGTCTATGGGCAGTGTGAGTCTATGGGCAGTGTGAGTCTATGGGCAGTGAGAGTCTACGGGCAGTGAGAGTCTATGGGTAGTGAGAGTCTATGGGCAGTGTGAGTCTATGGGCAGTGTGAGTCTATGGGCAGTGTGAGTCTATGGGCAGTGAGTCTATGGGCAGTGTGAGTCTATGGGTAGTATGAGTCTATGGGCAGTGCTGAGTCTATGGGCAGTGAGAGTCTATGGGCAGTGCTGAGTCTATGGGCAGTGTGAGTCTATGGGCAGTGCTGAGTCTATAGGCAGGGAAAGTCTATGGGTAGTGTGAGTCTATGGGCAAAGTGAGTCTATGGGCAGTGAGAGTGATTCTTCACCTTTACTGCAAGGCCGCAGTGAAGGTGAAGAACCGCAGCTTTAACCGGGGAGCTCTTACGGTGCACTTCACTCGACCGAGAGAAAAGCTTCCAAAGTTCACCGGACGCGAAACAGTTTACCGACAAGACACGTCGAGCACGGCACACGCGCAACAGCGTGTCGCCCGTAAGACAACGACCGTTTAACTTTCGTGAAAATCACGCGGCACCGCTCGCGGATGAAAGTGAGGGCGACGTACCTTGTGCTCCACGAAGGCGGCGAACTTGACGTGGAGGTGGGCCGAGAACCAGTACGTGGGCCGCAGGTGGTGCAGCAGCTCGGCGGCCGCGGGGCTGCCCAACGTGTTCGTCTCCACCTCGTTCTGGAAGTGGCGCTTGCGCCGCACAAGCTCCTCGGAGCGGCCGTAGCGGTAGATGCCGCGCGGCCAGTCGTGCGACATGAAGACGTCGAGCGGGAGACGCAGCTGCGCTGGGGCGAGACGGGAGGGGGGGGGGAGGGCGAGGGAAGGGGGGGTGGTTACCAAACGCGACGGGCTGCTGAAGGCTGCGCTCCAAACCGGAAAGGCGAGAAACGGGCGGTCGACTTCGCGGTTGTGGAAAAAACCGTGCTGCAATTATACGGCGAGCAACTTGGTGGGTCGTTTGGAAGCGATTTCGATCGACGTTTCGGATGCGTTGTTGCATGTTACTGGGCGCCTGTGAAATACTGGGCGCCTGTGAAATACTGGGCACCTGTGAAATACTGGGCACCTGTGAAATACCGGGCACCTGTGAAATACTGGACACCTGTGAAATACTGGGCACCTGTGAAATACTGGGCACCTGTGAAATACCGGGCACCTGTGAAATACCGGGCACCTGTGAAATACTGGGCACCTGTGAAATACTGCGCATTAATACTGGACATTAATATTGTCATTCTGATACATGCGTGTATGTGCGTACGTTGAAACTTCTTTTGAGCGCGACGTAGCCAACGGCGCTAATCGGAGGTGCGGGGGAAGGACAACAAACTAAACACACGAAAATCATCTTCTTGGTTCTTTCGATAAAGTCACGTAGAAGGGAAATAATTAAATAATAAAATTTAAACGTAATAAAATAAAATTCTTACGACGTTTCGGCCACAACGCAAGCAGCCGTCCTCAGGTGAAGACAGAGTTGTCTGAAAGACAGCGCTCCAATGAAACGTCGTGAGAATTATATTTAATTATGTTTTAATTTTATTTTTTTATTATTTCCCTTCTACGTGACTTTACCGAAAGAACCAAGAAGATGAATCCCTGCAGTCACGAAAGCTTTAAATCGAAACACAAAAAGTAGTTCTAAAGAAAAGTTCAGAGCTCTAGCGGCTTCCTAATATCCGGAAGAGCGTTCCAGACGGCCAAGGAAGCGCATCTGAAAGCGCAGCGCGATGCGGTGAACGCAATCTTCGTTCGATGGCCGAGCCAAAAGCCGCCGCCACGGCAGAGGTCACAACCGGGTACCCGATACCCGTACCCTACCCGATACCCAGCTACCCGTACCCGGCCGGATACGGGTACCCGTTTGTGACCCTGGTGCGGCCGGGTACGGGTAGGCCGTGAGTCACCGGTGAGTAACTGTTTGTCACTCATTTCCCAACGTCTTGTCTCTTCTCAATCAAGTTCCTATAATCAACCCACTCGCGCCTGCAACATGGCTTCATCCCAGAGGTCGCAATCGGGTACCCGATACCCGTACCCTACCCGTACCCGGCCGGGTAGGGTACGGGTACGGCTGGGTACGGGTACCCGTTTGCGACCCTGGTGCGGCCGGGTACGGGTAAGGAATTAAAACCCATTTGCGACCTCTGCGCCACGGGGATGACCGGAGTTCGCGTGACGATGGCCCACAGCTCCGTGCCGAGATCAGCGAGGCCGTTGTATCACGGTATCGCAGCGAAACCGCGGCACGCCCGCCCATCAGTCGCGCGCGTACCGCAAGACATTTGAAGCGATTTCGATTGACGTTTCAGACTCGCTGTTGAACGGCCAGTGTTGACGCGAGCGCGGCGTCACGGCGCTCCGTGTCAAGGCGTGCGCGCGGTGAAACAGCGCCGTGTCCCGGCGATCGGCGGTGTGCCACAGCGCAGCGTGCACAAGAAGGCACTTGCCTGCTTTAACCTGAAGACGTCAAAGTTGCGCACGTGGTAGGTGCTCCGCAAAGTGTTCTGGTTGTAGGGAGGACTTTCAAAGTGACCTACAGCGCAAACAGGGGCGGGTGAGATAATACGTGGGGGGGCGGGGGGTAAGAGGTTAAGCGCACGACAAACTCAAAGAATTTCGATTTAAAGCTTTCGTGACTGCAGGGATTCCTCTTCTTGGTTCTTTCGGTAAAGTCAAGTAGAATGGAAATAATAAAATAAAACATAATAAAATACAATTCTCACGACGTTTCATTGGAGCGCTGTCTTTCCGACAGCTTTGTCTTGACCTGAGGACGGCTGCTTGTGTTCTGGCCGAAACGTCGTGAGAATTTAATGTTGTATTTTTATTATTTTATTATTTCCCTTCTACGTGACTTTACCGACAGAACCAAGAAGAAAAAAAACTCCAAGAAAGCATCACAATGCGCCGGAAAAAAGGTGGTTTCCAGGCACCCCGGCGGGTGCGAATGAACGGTGGGGTTGAATCGGAATCACGAATCTTTATTTGGACCGGAGGAGGAATCCGATGAGCTATGAAGCTTTTTTTTTCACAGATGTCCAGTCGGGGCAACGGGTCAGAAAATTTACAACGACAACAACAACGCAAACCGCGACAGGGAGTGAAAAGCAGAGGAAAACTAAGCAAGTCGCTAAACACAAATTTACAAAGTGTGTAGGTACACTTCTGAGCGAGCCCCGTGTGTCCGCGTGATATCACCAAACCTCATCTGTGACACCTGCCCCAATCCTTGTTTCAGGTCAACACGCAGAGTGGAAATTGTGGCCGTGTTACTATGGGGAGCAGCGGGACGAAGAGGCAAATTAGATACCGGTTTCACCCTTATTAGAAATCACCAGTATGGTAGAGCCATGACCGCCTACTCCTGTCGAATGCATCAGGGGTAACCTCTTCGCCTTAGGCACTGCCGAAGGATAGCAAACGAATCGTACCAATGTCTGCCCGAGTTTTACCACCGTCCTATTTTGCGAATTAAAAACGTGGCGACCGTTTTGTTGCAGGCAGATCGCTTCGCTATTCTGGCCCTGCGATGCTGGATGTAATTATTGGCGAAACGTCGTACTACTCAAGTTGCAAACACTGCGGATTTACTCTCCAACACACCGGTGGGCTCAAGTGGTAACTAATTGGAGCGTTTTGCTGACGTGACAAACCTTATTGGCTGTGTCGGGATGTGGAGGGTTACAACACATTTACACTTACGCGATCTAACCCAAAAACCTTTAAGGTGAATAACATTGGTCGTGAAAGCCTACGACATGTCAAACTGACTTTACTGTTGGGTCTAAAACCAGTCCGCATGCACCTCTGTGTCCGATGAGTTTCTCCCCGTTTGCAGAAAACTTCAGCAAAAACTGGTTAACAATAACGCCCTACTTACCATGAACATGACAATCTACAACGCGCGCGGATTTCATGAATCGGACGCAATGTTTGATTGTGAACCCGGGGTGAGCTAAACCACAGCCTCAAACTTCCTTGTGTGTCAGCCTGGACAGGTGAGAGCCCTGGACAGGTGAGAGCCTGAACCAGGTGAGAGACTGAACCAGGTGAGAGACTGAACCAGGTGAGAGACTGAACAGGTGAGACTGAACCAGGTGAGGGCCTGAACAGGTGAGGGCCTGAACAGGTGAGGGACTGAACCAGGTGAGAGACTGAACAGGTGAAAGACTAAACCAGGTGAGAGACTGAACCAGGTGAGAGACTGAACCAGGTGAGAGTGTGAACCAGGTGAGAGACTGAACCAGGTGAGAGACTGAACAGGTGAGAGACTGAACCAGGTGAGTGACTGAACAGGTGAGAGTCTGGACAGGTGAGAGACTGAACAGGTGAGAGACTGAACCAGGTGAGAGTGTGAACCAGGTGAGAGACTGAACCAGGTGAGAGACTGAACAGGTGAGAGACTGAACCAGGTGAGTGACTGAACAGGTGAGAGTCTGGACAGGTGAGAGACTGAACAGGTGAGAGACTGAACCAGATGAGAGACTGAACCAGGTGAGAGACTGAACAAGTGAGAGACTGAACCAGGTGAGAGACTGAACCAGGTGAGAGTCTGGACAGGTGAGAGACTGAACAGGTGAGAGACTGAACCAGATGAGACACTGAACCAGGTGAGAGACTGAACAAGTGAGAGACTGAACCAGATGAGACACTGAACCAGGTGAGAGACTGAACCAGGTGAGAGACTGAACCAGGTGAGAGACTGAACCAGGTGAGAGCCTGGGCAGGTGAGAGACTGAACCAGGTGAGAGACTGAACCAGGTGAGAGTCTGAACCAGGTGAGAGTCTGAACCAGGTGAGAGACTGAACCAGGTGAGAGACTGACCAGGTGAGAGACTGAACCAGGTGAGAGACTGAACCAGGTGAGAGACTGGACAGGTGAGAGACTCAACCAGGTGAGAGACTGAACCAGGTGAGAGACTGAACCAGGTGAGAACCTGGACAGGTGAGAGACTGAACCAGGTGAGAGACTGAACAGCTGAGAGACTGAACCAGGTGAGAACCTGGACAGGTGAGAGACTGAACCAGGTGAGAGACTGAACCAGGTGAGAGTCTGAACCAGGTGAGATACTGAACAGGTGAGAGACTGAACCAGGTGAGAGTCTGAACCAGGTGAGAGACTGAACCAGGTGAGAGACTGCACCAGGTGAGAGTGTAAAAAAGTGAGAGCACACTTCACTTAAAAAATATGCATTTTTTTATAAAATCATGAACAATTCTAATAATCCTTAAGAATGAGTGTTACATCAAACTAGTGTGTTCTACCCCTTGGCACACTCTCAGTCCTGGACAACAACGGAGTTACCGGATCGGAAAATCCTTTACGTAGTCTGCGGGACGTTTCACGTTTAGGCATTTAAACGGGAAAATCGCTGCAGCCGCAACGGGTTACCGCAGGCAAGTGCCCTCTCAGCCCACCTTTCCAGTAATCGTGTTGCTTGTAAATCCCGGAGAGACCACCTATCCTCAAACCACCATAACGCACCACGCCTGCGTAGCCTGCAACGGAACACAACGCAACGAAGGAACACGTGCTTTACCCCCCGAGCTCTTCCTGACACGTGAAAACTCGCACATCCACTCAGTAAGTAAAAAAAAAATTAACCCGTAAAAAACAAAGTTTTTCACTAGAAATCCTTTATATGCGTGGCGGCTAGAGTCCTCTCGTCCTCTGGCTTGAGATGGCTGCCACCTATGGGTCAGATGATTGCTTGCCACCATTAAGCAATTGGTAATCACATATAATAATTTTTTTTTCCTAAAAAGTGTCATATTTTGGAAAACATTTTTCACGAAAATTAATTGTCACGCACAACGAGCCTGCGTGCAAAATGTCAGCTCGATTGGATCACGGGAAGTGGGTAAAAAAACGACCGAAAGATTTGCACGGTCATAAGCGCGCAAGCAAGCAAGCGAACTTAATATAAAGGATTTAAAAAAGACAACCCAATGCATGCATGCTCATTAGCGCGCAGGTCAATGCGAGCTTACCCACCCATATAGAATATGTTGGGAGCAACCCAGCCTCCGTAAGACAACTCTTGCAAGTGATTGGCAGCCTCGTGGTTTCCTCCAATGAATACAGTCAGGATCGGGGCTTTCTTTTCTCCAGAGTAGTACCTGCACAGCGACAGGCAGACGCCCGCGGCATTTCAGCGAACGTGTTAAAGACGGCAGATGGACCCGAAGTAAACATTGGCAAGCGCTGACGGCCTGTAGTCTGTGCGGGAGACACGCGATTAAGACAGACTCGTAGTTGGTAGGAACAGTGGTTAAGAGAGCCTTTGTTTATTCACCAGGTAGGTGGCGTGGAAGTGTCACAAACGTCACCCTGAGCCACATATTCTCGCCACCAAACACTTGAATAGCAACTTTGGAGCAATGCAAGATAGGGGAAAAGTACTAAGAGTGGTAAGAAATCATCTTGGTTCTTTCGGTAAAGTCACGTAGAAGGGAAATAATAAAATAAAAATAAAACATAATAAAAAAATATTTTATTATGTTTTATTTTTATTATTATTTTTTTATTTTTTTATTAAAGTAATAAAAATATAACATAATAAAAATAGATTTTATGTTTGATTTGTATTACTTTATTATTTCCCTTCTCCGTGACTTTACCGAAAGAATCAAGATAATAAAAAAAATTATTGTTTTATTTTATTATTTTATTATTTCCCTTCTACGTGATGACTTTACCGAAAGAACCAAGAAGATGAATCCCTGCAGTCACGAAAGCTTTAAATCGAAAAGTGGTAAGAAAACACAAATGATCCATAATAAGAGGCTTTTGGGATAGATTGGGGAAATATAATTGAGTCGTTAAATCCAGCACCACCCAACACAGCCAATTAGTAAGATTTATCAAGTAAACAAATCATGTCACGACTGACCGTCCGCCAAAAACTGGCTGATGATGCTCGTTGCAATTACTGGCGAAACGTCGTACTCGAATTGTAAATGTTGTCGGTTTACTCTCCAACACACCGGTGGTGCTCAACTAGTAACGAATTGGCACGTTTTGTTTATTACACAAACATAGTTAATTAGCTGTGTCGGGTTGTGGCAGGTTTAACGACACATTTATAATTACACAATGTAACCCAAAAACCTCTTATTATGGATGATATTGGTCGCGAAAGCCTACGTGTTACACAAACTCAAACGACAGGTATGAATGCGTCGCTTGAACAAAAGAAATAAGCCACTGCAATAGCAACAACAGCATCATAAATCACCATTCATCATTAACGCTGCCTTAAAAAAACATACCAAAAGATGACGTTTCAAGCAATGGCCCTACTTCAGAGTGAATTATTTGGCGACGCTGCATTGGCAGTGGTTTACAAGCATAAATAACAAAACATTTAACAATAAGACTGGCTTAAAAAGGATCAACGTTTCGGGCAAAGGCCCACATCACTTTACTTGCTGATACCAACTGAAACCCAAGCAATTCTACAAATGTCACTAAATCTACGAAAATGAAAGCCGCATTCACCTCATTGAACAATTATTGTCTTAACATAATGCGCTTGTACGAGCCGTCTTCACAAACTGACGCGTGTATGCACGGATGTTGAAAATCTTCTTCCCCCTCCAACCCAGCTTAAATATACGCTCCAAGCTTGGTGGTGTTTCATTCTTCACCTGAGGACGGCTGCTTGCGTTGTGTTATTAAATCCTTATTATTAAGTTCGCTTGCTTGCTTAGGACCGTGCAAATCTTTCGGTCGCTTTTTAACCCACTTCCCGTGATCCAATCGAGCTGACATTTTGCACACAGACTCGTTGTGCGTGACAATGGATTTTCGTGAAAAATTTTTTTCAAAAATTTTACACTGTTTAGGGAATTAAAAAAATGTTGTATTTATCAATTGGTTAATGCTGGCACACAATCTGACCCATAGGTAGCAGCCATCTCAAGCCAGAGGACGAGAGGACTCTAGCCGCCCCGATGCCACGCATATAAAGGATTAATAGTGAAAAACTTTGTTTTTAAGGGTTAATTTTTTATTATTATTTAGTTATTTCCCTTCTACGTGACTTTACCGAAAGAACCAAGAAGATCTTTCGCACCCTACGTAGCCGACGGTGCTAATCGGAGGTGCTACCAGCTAAAACATTTACCACTTCCAGTAGTCGGGCAACCCGAATTCCGCTCTAGCCCCACGCTAGAGAAGCGAACTGATGGGACGGGCGAATGAGGCGGCGAGGCTTACTTGTAGAAGGTCTGCATTTGCCTGTATTTGGGTGGCACAGCGACGCACTTGAGGTCGGCCTCATTGCGCACGGCCTGGAAGTCACCACAGCAGAGCAGCAGGTCGACCGTGATGCCCTCGCGGTTCTCCAGGTAGGCGATCGTCTCGTAGATGCGGTCCAGCTCGCCGTGGCAGCAGCCTTCCACGGCGATCTTCATGGTCGGTGACTTGAGGGCAGCGCCGGGAGGATCGGAGGGGGGGGGGGAAGGACGGAGGACGAAGGGCCAGGGAAGGTCTGCAAGTGACACACGGTGGAAGAGAGAGAGGAGTTTTTCAAAGTGCCTTTTTGGAGCATTCGGCGACTGACAATACATTTCCACGTGAAAAGCCGCTTCGTTGTGCCATCATTAGTGACTGTCAGGGTCACTTTTGAAAATGATCTATACAACTCAATGGGCCGTACCTGGTAAAATAAAAAGTTTATAAGTTTCTCAACTTAATCGATCATTTAATTTTTACCAGCTTCTTATTCTTCTTGTGCGTCGTGTCTCCTGTCCAACCTATGCGGACGGCCTTTTACCAATATTCTGCACAGGCCACCGCTTCTGGTGTTGGCAAAGCCAAGTCTTGAGTAGCATCGTGGTGCTGCAGGGCATCTCAGGAGATGATCCATGTGGTGTGCTTCTCATGACGACCATCTTGGTCGGATTGATCAGAAGTCCTGTGATTTCACGAGAGATGGGGATGCATGATATCTCCTCGTGGTACATCCCGGTAACTTCTGGAGTGTTATTCCTCGTAAGACCAAATCCATTAACCACTCATAAACCAACCGTGTCCACCCAAGAGGCGTGTGGACAGAAAAAGCCTGCACTGTCAATCCTCTCAATTGACATTGGATACTCACAGGCCAAACCTGACATCCTGAACAGGAGACACACACAAAGGTTTTACCAGGTAAAGGCCCACTGATCTAAATAGCATTACTTTTTTAAGAAGCCTGGCTATCACAAATTATAGCTCAACTTAGTGGCTAATCATCATGTGGAAATGGACAGCATCCAAATAATCTAAACGCGTGTTTCTACATGTGGTGGGGGTCGGGGGTGGGGAAGAACGGGAGGACCTGGAGAAAAATCCACGCAACCACGGGGAGACACGCAAACTCCAAACGCGCAGCAGGCGACAGGGTCAGGGATCGCACCCACGACCCCTGCTGCATACCGGGCGAGGGTGTTCACATCTTGTTACGGTTGTGTCGGGTGGCGGAGGCTTACGACACGTTTACACGCACGCGATCTAACCCTCCCACCCCACAAAACACATGTATTATGCATGGCGACGACACTAATAGCACTGCAGTATGGGAAATAAAAACTAACTTTGATAAGAGCAGGTGACGGGCCGTTACTGCAAGTGCACAAACTTAAGGCCCCCGAATCTGACCGGCAACAGGCAAGACCCACCACCACCACCAGCACCACCACCAGAACCACCACCCACACCACCACCAGCTCCACCACCAGAACCACCACCCACACCACCACCACCCACCACCCACACCAGCACCACCACCCACAAACACACCACCACCCACACCACCACCACGACCCACACCACGACCCACACCACGACCCACACCACGACCCACACCACGACCCACACCACGACCCACACCACCACCACCACGACCCACACCACCACCCACACCACCACCACCGCCACCACCACCCACCCCACCACCAGCACCATCACCAGAACCATCACCAGCAACACCACCCACACCACCAGAACCACCACCCACACCAGCACCCACACCACCAGAACCACCACCACCACCACCACCACCCGCACCACCACCCACACCACCAGCACCACCACCAGCAGCACCACCACCCATAACACCACGACCCACACCACCACCCAACAAAGATAAAGATCCCCCGTATAGCCTTAACAGACTGTAGGGGCAAGTGCTGTTAGCGAGCACCTATGAAAGGCCGGCACGGCACACGAGGGGGTGGGTGGCCAGCACCACGCCCGACCGCCTTTGTCTCCCCCAGTGGCGATGTTTACACACCGCACCAGGCACTCGTTTGAGGCCGAGTCGACCTAGGGGAGAGCCCAGGACCGGTTCAGATAATCGTCACTGGGTGTTGGCCGTGAGCGGGAATCGAATTCGGCTCTAAGGGTTCATAGCGCGCCACCGCTCCCCACCACCACCGCAGGAACCGCGGAGGCCGCGGAAGATACCGGGGGGAGGTCGAGGAGTCGATGAAGCGGTGTGAGAAGACGAGAGAGAGTCAGAGGGCAGGGGGGAAGGAAGAAAATTATCTTTTTAAAAATACTAAAAATAAAAAGAATCTTGAGGCCTTCAATCTCCGCCTCTAGCTCACGTGGGTCTCGAGCCCGCGCGCCAGCCGTGACCTCTGACCCGCCCCGCCTCCCCGCCGGTGACGTCACCGCGAGCGACGGCCTCCCAATGGTTGGAGGCCGCGGCGCGAACCAAGAGGTTTTATTTTTTTTAACTAAGTGTGATTATTGTTAACTTATTGATTTTTTTGTTAACTAAGTGTATTTTTTTACTGAGTGTAATTTTTTTAACTAAGTGTGATTATTGTTAACTGATTGATTTTTTTGTTAACTTATTGTATTTTTTTACTGAGTGTAATTTTTTTAACTAAGTGTGATTATTGTTAGTTAATTGATTTTTTTGTTAACTAAGTGTATTTTTTAACTGAGTGTAATTTTTTTAACTAAGTGTGATTATTGTTAGCTAATTGCTTTTTTTGTTAATTAATTGTAATTTTTAACTGAGTGTAATTTTTTTAACTAAGTGTGATTATTGTTAGTTAATTGATTTTTTTGTTAACTAAGTGTATTTTTTAACTGAGTGTAATTTTTTTAACTAAGTGTGATTATTGTTAGCTAATTGATTTTTTTGTTAATTAATTGTAATTTTTAACTGAGTGTAATTTTTTAACTAAGTGTGATTATTGTTAGCTAATTGATTTTTTTGTTAACTAAGTGTATTTTTTAACTGAGTGTAATTTTTTTAACTAAGTGTGATTATTGTTAGCTAATTGATTTTTTGTTAATTAATTGTAATTTTTAACTGAGTGTAATTTTTTTAACTAAGTGTGATTATTGTTAGCTAATTGCTTTTTTTGTTAACTAATTGTAATTTTTAACTGAGTGTAATTTTTTTAACTAAGTGTGATTATTGTTAGCTAATTGATTTTTTTGTTAACTAAGTGTATTTTTTTACTGAGTGTAATTTTTTTAACTAAGTGTGATTATTGTTAGCTAATTGCTTTTTTTGTTAATTAATTGTAATTTTTAACTGAGTGTAATTTTTTTAACTAAGTGTGATTATTGTTAGTTAATTGATTTTTTTGTTAACTAAGTGTATTTTTTAACTGAGTGTAATTTTTTTAACTAAGTGTGATTATTGTTAGCTAATTGATTTTTTTGTTAATTAATTGTAATTTTTAACTGAGTGTAATTTTTTTAACTAAGTGTGATTATTGTTAGCTAATTGCTTTTTTTGTTAACTAATTGTAATTTTTAACTGAGTGTAATTTTTTTAACTAAGTGTGATTATTGTTAGCTAATTGATTTTTTTGTTAACTAAGTGTATTTTTTTACTGAGTGTAATTTTTTTAACTAAGTGTGATTATTGTTAGCTAATTGCTTTTTTTGTTAATTAATTGTAATTTTTAACTGAGTGTAATTTTTTTAACTAAGTGTGATTATTGTTAGCTAATTGATTTTTTTGTTAATTAATTGTAATTTTTAACTGAGTGTAATTTTTTTAACTAAGTGTGATTATTGTTAGCTAATTGATTTTTTTGTTAACTAAGTGTATTTTTTTACTGAGTGTAATTTTTTTAACTAAGTGTGATTATTGTTAGCTAATTGATTTTTTTGTTAATTAATTGTAATTTTTAACTGAGTGTAATTTTTTTAACTAAGTGTGATTATTGTTAGCTAATTGCTTTTTTTGTTAACTAATTGTAATTTTTAACTGAGTGTAATTTTTTTAACTAAGTGTGATTATTGTTAGCTAATTGATTTTTTTGTTAACTAAGTGTATTTTTTTACTGAGTGTAATTTTTTTAACTAAGTGTGATTATTGTTAGCTAATTGCTTTTTTTGTTAACTAATTGTAATTTTTAACTGAGTGTAATTTTTTTAACTAAGTGTGATTATTGTTAGCTAATTGCTTTTTTTGTTAACTAATTGTAATTTTTAACTGAGTGTAATTTTTTTAACTAAGTGTGATTATTGTTAGTTAATTGATTTTTTTGTTAACTAAGTGTATTTTTTAACTGAGTGTAATTTGTTTTACTCAGTGTGATTATTGTTAACTAAGTGTGATTATTGTTAACTAAGTGTATTTTGTTAACTAAGTGTAATTATTGTTAACTAAGTGTAATTATTACATAGTGTTATATTAAAATGGATAAGGCAGCAACTGCAGCAGCAGCAAGTGCAGCAGCAGCAGCAACTGCAGCAGCAGCAGCAACTGCAGCAGCAGCAGCAACTGCAGCAGCAGTAACTGCAGCAGCAGCAGCAACTGCAGCAGCAGTAATTTCAGCAGCAGCAGTAACTGCAGCTCCCTTTGATGCTGTTAATCCTGCATAATGCACATGCATATGCAGGACTAATCACATTCCTGCATTTCCCATAAATATGCTAAATTCCTTTTGATATGCAAATTCCTTTGTCAATGTGCCCAGCTTATATATATGCTCTAAGCCCGTGTGCTGTTTCATTCAGACTCTGTCGCCTCGACGGACCTGGTTTTCACCTGAGGACGGCTGCTTGCGTTGTGGCCGAAACGTCGTGAGAATTATTTTATTATGTTTTATTTTTATTATTTTATTACTTCCCTTCTACGTGACTTTACCGAAAGAACCAAGAAGAAAAAAGTGTAATTATTGTTAACCAATTGTATTTTTAAATCCTTTATATTAAGTTCGCTTGCTTGCGTGCTTGCGTGCTTGCTTGCTTGCTTACGACCGTGCAAATCTTTCGGTCGTTTTTTAACCCACTTCCCGTGATCCAATCGAGCTGATATTTTTCGTTGTGCGAGACAATTAATGTTCGTGAAATTTTTTGTTCCAAAATTTTACACTGTTTTGGGAAAACAAATTAAATATTTAATTACCAATTGCTTAATACTGGCAGACAATCATCTGACCCACAGGTGGCAGCCATCTCAAGCCAGAGGACGAGAGAACTCTAGCCGCCACGCATATAAAGGATTTAGAGTGAAAAACTTTGTTTTTACGGGTTTACTTGTTTCAAATGTTCTTGCTGTGGATTTCACACCTGATGACGATTGCTTGTGTTGCAGTCGAAACGTCGTGAGAATTTTGTATTGTTTAATGTTTATATTATTTTATTATTTCCCTTCTACGTGACTTTACCGAAAGAACCAAGAAGATGAATCCCTGCAGTCACGAAAGCTTTAAATCGAAATGTAATTATATTTTATTATGTTTTATTTTTATTATTTTATAATTTCCATTCTACGTGACTTTACCGAAAGAACCAAGAAGATAAAAACAAATAGTCGAGATGCATATGTTGCCAGCACCACGCCCGGCCGCCTTTGTCTCCCCAGTGACGATGTTTGCGCATTGTACCACGTACTCATTTGAGGCTGAGTCGACCTACACACAGAACACGGGTACACACACGGCCACTTTGAACGCAGCACCGCGCTACCCACCCAGCACGGCTGCAGATGGCAGCACTGCGCAGGGACCGGTGGTTACGGGAATGTTCTAGAGGGAAGCATGAACAATTAAACAAAGAACAATTGTTAAGTAAAATAAACAAAGTTATAATAATACAAAATGAAACGATTCCAATTAGAAAGTACTCTGACTTTTCAAATCGCCAAAAAATTGCAGCCTTTGCGATTTGCTAATCGCATTGTTTCAAATTGCGATTTCGATTTGAAATAAATCGATCGTTGAGCCCCAGTCCACAGTCAGCGAGAATCGATGGAGAAGGGTATAAAATGTAACCCGTAAAAACAAAGTTTTTCACTATAAATCCTTTATATGCGTGGCATCGGTTTTATTTTATTATTCATTTCTGTTTTTCTTGAGTAAGAGTTTCATTTTTATCACACTGGTATTTTAAATTAAATATGAAAAAAAATTTTTCCTAAAAAGTGGAATATTTTGGAACAAAAATTTTCACGAAAATAAATTGTCACGCACAACGAGTCTGTGTGCAAAATGTCAGCCCGATTGGATCACGGGAAGTGGGTTAAAAAACGACCGAAAGATTTGCAAGGTCGTAAGCGTGCAAGCAAGCAAGTGAACTTCATACAAATTAACCCGTAAAAACAAAGTTTTTCACTATAAATCCTTTATATGCGTGGCGGCTAGAGTCCTCTCGTCCTCTGGCTTGAGATGGCTGCCACCTATGGGTCAGATGATTGTCTGCCACCTATTAAGCAATTGGTAATTAAATATAATAAATGTTTTCCTAAAAAGTGTAAAATTTGGGAATTTTTTTTCACGAAAATATATTGTCACGCACAACGAGTCTGTGTGCAAAATGTCAGCTCGATTGGATCACGGGAAGTGGGTTAAAAAACGACCGAAAGATTTGCACGGTCGTAAGTGCGCAAGCAATCAAGCAAGTGAACTTAATATAAAGGATTTAAAAAGGGAGATGCGCGGGAGACTCGGGGCTGTTGCGGTGGGATTTCCGCCTGATGATAATTGGTTTCTTACCCTTCTATCTGGCAACAAAACTGACACCTTTTTTACAAGGAGTCATGCTTGCATAGACCACAAAACCTGCAGTCATAATGCAAACAAAAAACATAACTCTGATAATGTATGCACTGTCCTTGAAGTTGATTGGTCCACACCCGAGACAGCTTTCTTTAGAGCCTAGTCTCACATGGTGTTGGACCAGATGACGCCAAAAGGCGCACAACTCAAAGACAACGCACCATCAGAGTATGAGAGCTTGGGGTAAGCATTTACACCATTGGAACCTCATTTGCCAGAAGAAAAAAAAATATGATAATTGATTTTTTACCCTTTTATCTGGCAACAAAACTGACACCTTTTTACGAGGAGTCATGTTTGCATAGACCACAATACCTGCAGTCATAATGCATACAAAAAACACAACTCTGATAATGTATGCACTGTCCTTGAAGTTGATTGGTCCACACCCGAGACAGCTTTTTTTAGAGCCTAGTCTCACATGGTGTTGGACCAGATGACGCCAAAAGGCGCACAACTCAAGGACAATGCACCATCAGAGTATGAGAGTTCGGGGCAAGCATCTACACTATGGGAACCTCATTTGCCAGTAAAAATATGATAATTGTTTTTTTACCCTTCTATCTGGCAACAAAACTGACA